GTGCCATTCGATATGGGTGTGATATAAGCCCATGCTTGACTGCCACCGGAGGTTTGTAGACCCTTGAGGTCGTACAGGTCCTTGATCGCGACACGCTCGCCTGCGAGGGGTCTGTCGTCATCCCAGTAGTAAATGCGTGAAGGGACAGGAATCATAGGGTCCCAGAATTTGGGCAGGAATACGCCGAGCGGGTTGTGGTTGTTTTCTCCATCATTCGCATCGTAGGCGCCGAAGAGGAACGTCCTATAAGTATCTGGATAAAGTCGATACACAGTCGCAAAGCTTATGGAGCCGTCTTCCACAGATGCGAGGTATGGGCCAGCAGGTATTTCAACGGGCGATTGAAGTACAACCTTGTTCGCTGAGGCATCTGCAGTCACCGAGGAGTCTATGAAAAGCATGCTCGTGTTGAAGGTTGCTAGATATTCCATGGCAGAAGCATCCAAGGTCGACTTGACGCTTGATGAGAGATACAGTCCGTCCAGGAAGTCATGGCTGAAAACGTCGTCACCCTCGAGGTACGACGATACGATACTGGTCAGGACGTCCTTCGTGATAGTGGTCTCGTTGGTTTTGATGACAGTGATCGGAATTGACGTAGATGTGCCCGCAGTTGCGCAACCAGCACTCGCCTTCGGGTACTTGGTATTTGCCAGGTATGAGACATTCCCTAGCTCGAAGATTGTATCACTGTAAGGGTTTTCGAGAACAAAGTTGTAGGGATTTCTCTTAACAACGGGAGCGGCCAAGGCGGAGATAGACGCAAGAGATGCGGTCAGCAATCCGGAGAAGATGATACGGCCCGCCATGGTGAGCGTATGTGAACGGCACACCTGCAAACTTTCAGATCGCCATTAAAACTCTTTTATACACTTGAGCAGTATCAAGGTCCCGCTGGTATGATACCCAAGATAACCGGACATATAGAGATGCCTCTTTCGCTCATGGTGAGCAGTACCACGCTGTTGCCGAAGCTGCTAGCGACTTGGCAACATGCGGGCTGCATCTCCACAATCGATGCCTAACCGGATGCAAATCGCCGACTGGTTGCTTATCGCATATCGGATGGTGTTCATAGTCATCGGTATGGGATTCGTTATCAATCTCTCCGGTATGTGGAGGGACGTTGACTTGCATGTCGGTTGAGATGCGCCGATTGCGCTTCCAGGTAGTTCCGAAAATGATGCGGGTACCCCACGTGTAGTCACTATGAAGTTGAATATATGCTCCTATATGTTTCTACTCCGATCGTATGAAGACAAAATCCGCAGCGAGATGCCATTGTCGTAAATGTGGTTATATTTGTTCTTCATCGAGCTTCTGATGTTCCACGAGACGTGAACGTGACTGCTCCACAATGACTTCATCCCGGAGAGCTATTTCTTTGATCCGTCAAGAATATTATCGTGCGTGACAACAAACAGCGCATTCCAACTTCAATATTATGAGCATGAATCAGGACCCTGTATCCGTCTACACAAGTCGCGAACCTGCTTTGAATGGCCCTGTTGCGGACCCGCTGACGGTCCTTCCGCCGGAGATCGTGCTCCGCATCCTCGATTTCACACCCGTCTCAGCCTTAGCATCTCTTACCGTTGTATCACGCGCCTGGCACCATTTCATCGACGAAACACACCAAGAAGCTATCTACTCCTCTCCAACTAAGACGTCGCAATCGCATACGAACTCTCAATCACCCCGCACCGCACGCGACTTCTCGTTTGTTGAAGATTACACCAGCTTCTCCAAGTTCTTCGAGAACCTCACATCATGGAAAGATCTATGCAAACGACAAACTCTTCTTGCGCGCAACTGGACCTCGTCACAACCTGTCACGCAAGAGTCCATCCTGCAGGTCACCAATAATGCGGTATGGCGGTTCAAAGCCGACTTCAAACGTCGCCTGTTCATCTCGACATCGCATGCTGGTGGACTGAATGTGACTGACATGGACACTGGCGACATCCTGTGGCAGTTGCCTTCGATTCTAGACTCGAATTCTGAGGATGCCGTCAGACCGTATGCGCATTTGGAGTATCAAGATGGAATGGCCGTATTTGACCGTGAAGGAGACGCGGTGGAAGTCTGGCAAACAGATCAAGAAGGTACGGCAAGAGGAGAGTTTCGACGTGTAGCTGTTCTAGATCACGATTGTCAAACAAGAGGATTCCAGCTTTCTTATTGGACGTTGGTTGTGGTCGCAGTAGAGGGCCAGGGCTTCGTGTACGATATGAAGCAAAGCCCACCAAAGCTGACTACCCACTTGAAGATTGAAGAAGACGCGGTAGGGCACCTCGATCAGAACGAGGATGTGGTTGTGTATTCCATGGGAGCACGTGGTTACCACGTGTACGACAAGAAGACTGGAGAGGCTCTGGGTACACTACAGCCATCGCAGTGTACAGAAACATACCACGTCGAACCCTTGCCACCTCTCGATAGACCTGGATCCAACGGGGCTTTGGCCGCGCTGAGTACCGGTCGCCCATCGAGACCAATCTTCCCTGCATCAAATCCCCGCAAAACCCGCTTGAAGCCTGTTCAACTCAATAAAGGCCCTCTTCCCATCCAGAACGGAAGAGATACCAGCGAGGACGAATGGGGTGCTGGCATGCTAGATCGCGACAGCAACCTTTTCGTGGGCTTCTCCCGGCTTGGCTGTATCTTTTTGTGCTCCGACTTCCGCAAGGCACTTGAAGACGGGGCCAAAAACCTAGCACGTTACAGTCAGATCCTACAGTGTGACTCTGACGGGTCAAGCTTTGACCTCGGTGGTTGGCTATCTGTTCGCAACCATCGAATCATGTTTGAGATTATGAACAGAGCCTACGTCGTTGCGCTCGACAGTCAGAATCGCATCAGCCTCGAAGAGCAAGCCGCTGGGCGGGCATCCTCATACTGTTACCTCAATAGTTCTGCGCCGCAACTCGCGTGTCCAATTAGCTTCATGACACTTTACGACGATTGTATCATGTCGACTTATGCGGTAATGAACAGGCCCCTGAAGAACGAATATATAAGAGCTAACAGCAGGCAGACACTGGGTGAAAGGCGTGATGGAACGACCGCGAGGAACATTCGTCTCTTCCCAACAAAGACGATTCGCATCATCAGCCTTGCGCCTAACCTTGATGGAGAAGATAGGGCGATGGGGGGCGTGGAGGACCCAACATCTGCAGGGAGAGTGGATCCTATGAATGCGTCTCAGGATCCAATGTTGCGGTTGATCTCAATGATTCAAACGGCTGATGAAGAGGAGCTTCCTGGTTGGTACAATGATGTGTACGATGACGATGACGATGAGTGGGTTGACGATTAGGCACCCCTCCTGATCCACGGCGCTATAAGGCTTCTGCAGTGAAGCAAAGCGAACACTAGAACGCTCTTGCTTTTGGGGAAGTACTTAAAGGTCATACTGTCATCAATCAATATCGGCAAAGAGAAATCTAATGTTTTCATGAACGCCTTTCTGGAGTATCTAGGAATTGGTGGTATACGGCACCGCTTCGACGCATTCACCTTTTGGTTTAGCTAACGATACATCAACGTATCTAGACACGAGTACTCTCATTGATGGCGAAATACGAGTGGAGTTTTGGTTGCGGCAGGGATATGGTCAAGAAATCACCTAAAGCTCTGCGAAAGTGCTGTAAAGCTTCCTTAGAGAATGGAGAACGCTGATCATAGCTGAACATACCATCGCTACGTTGGCGCACATGTGTGTCGAGGATGCCGCTTCTAACGCACTGCCATATCTTGCATGCATAATACTAGGCTTGTGACCGTCGAGCGAATGCATATGCACGAAACAGCAACGATAACTGCTGATAGAACATTTCGATAGCGTCAGGTGTGGATGTTCTCTCTGGAAGCGCAACCTATCGATCACAGTAATTATTCTTATCGATGAACATTACCGTATCAGTCCCTACGCCCAGTCCAATATAGCGAGCTGCATATCCGGACTTCTCGAGATCACAAGTGGTTCGTAGCAAACGATTCAAAACCAGTAAAAACGGTGCGAGAATATCTCTTAGCGATGCGCGGCTTGATGACGCATCATAGCTAGCATACCAGTTACATCACATCATGATCCGAGGCCTTGTCATCGGCGAGGTGCACATACGATGCGCAAAAACTAGGCTGTATAACAAGTATAACACGCACCTTTAAAGAGTGAATATCACTCCATAGTATACATACTCTTTACTTACGATACTCGCCATATCGGATCGAGAGGTGACGTACTCAAAAGGGTGCTAAGTCGCTTTGTAGGTGCACTGCAATCTCTAGCGCGGGTGAATGTTTAAGTATATAGGGGTTCTCAATGTGTGCATAAGAGATAGTAGAGGAATGAGTAGTCGTTAGCTAGTTCGCAACTTCAACAGGCCCACTAGGTGCCTTTCGCACCACGACATTCCTGGCAGTAAGCTAATAAACCATGAAGTTCCTTATTTCAAGGGTCTCGAGTGCGTGCAAAAGAGCTGCAAAAAACCGATCCCCAATCTTCGACAAAAGATAAATCTCTGGAATTACTTGGCATAAATACTATAAGCCATGTTGGGAATCTAAACCCAGATACATTTCTAGTCAGTCCAACCGAAGGGGAGAATGATCCAATGTTGGTTATAATCATCAGAGAAGCCATAAGACATCAGGTTAACTCTGTATCCATTAGATCGATCCTTCTTCATGCGGGGCAGTTGCGGAACCTACCCAAGATTTCTGCTACTACTTGCCAACTGAATGTAAGTGTCCCACTCAGCATTCTTTATACTAGATAAAGTGACGGACAGGTTAGCCGAATCCTTGAGCTCATGCTATGTACTTACAGCCAAGTCCCGTTCCTGCCACCAGCGCCGATGCGCCATTGGTTACTTCTACCAGAAGCACAATACCCTGGGCCTGACGCGAGCTCTACCGAGGTACCGCCCGATGGGAAGAAGAGCTTGACTGAGGAAATTCCCAGTTAATGAACAGATATACTACCTATTGCACACTCACTCACATTCGTTTTTGACCAGCGTTATGGTCCAGAAGTTTTCCGACGAGGAATCGTCTCGGTTGTTGACCTTGTTCAGTCTGAACATTTGGTTATCATTTTTAGGGTTGAATTCATGGCCATGTGTTTTGTTCATGTAATCTAGAACGGTTTCAGACGTGGCTCCTGAACTCGTATCGGACAGCGTGGTCTCTCACCTTTGCCAGCATCGATGGCCAAGCCAGATCGCATGTTGACGATCATAACTCGGGCGCCGTCGAGCTCTTTTGGCAAACAGTTTTCCTTTCCTCCGTACGAGTATCTTGCGTTTGTCTCGTTGATAGTGTTCCTGAGGCTCTCAAGCTGGCGTTCCATGCGGGTCTCTGATGCCGCCGTCTCCTCTTGGTGGATTATGCGCAATGTTTCTGCATTTTGTGCCCTTTCCTTCATATCCATTATTGTGTTCCTACTCTCAGAAATCTGTTGGTGAGCTTCATCAAGCGCAGTTCTCAATGTCAGTTTGTCCTCCTCCTTCTCCTTGGTCATGGCCGTAAATCGCTCTTCTTGTCGCAGAGCAGCTTCTTCCATTGCCTTCTGTTGAGCGCGCGCACTCTGAAGCGCAGCGATATTGGTTGAGTCATTACGGAAAGGTTGCTGAGAGAGATTAGGCTCAGTTGTACGATTGGTGAAGTGCTGAAGAGAAACTGCCATTGCGACAAACGGATGGTTGGTAAGATGCTAAGATTGTCAAGTTGAAGATTAAGATTCGAAAGCCTGAACCCCGAACAAATAGTACGAGCTGAGATAGATCAAATACTGCGTAATAAACGATAGCGATGGGTTTCAGATCAGAATCGATTGGCCCAAGGGTCTAGGCTTCTTGGACGGAGTGGCCGGAGAGGCGTACACACCACGGCTGAGGAGGTCGGTTCGAGCCATGTGGCTTTTCGATAGATCATAGACGCGCGTCCAAGGTTCTGTGTGCTCAACCACGTGGACTATCGTAGCGCCACTAGTTTCTTGTGGTGTGCAGCTGCAATGTGAAGGCTATGCAGGGTTATGGCTTGACCTGCAGGACCTGACAGGCTATTCTTTGCCTACCAAGATGATCTAGCTGCTCCTTAGTGTGATGAACTTCAGCCGATCTCAGAGCTAATCTATTGGTACTAGCATTATTGATCCCATGCATCGCTCATTATCACGTGGACAGATAAGGAGATTTTGAGGTCCAAAGTTATCGGCAACACTACCTAGATTATGTATGTACTTATCTCAATCTAAGGGAATGTCTTAAAGCATGCTCTTATATCTAGCTGCTGTTGCTTCTTGAAAGTCATCACATCGAAACCCTCAAGAGCTACCCCATATCAATCCGAGTCGTGTGATGACTTCTCCACTTTGTTCCCCGTAGAATCCACGCAAGGTCCAATTCGCTCGTCCAAGTTTCGGAGCTTGTTCAGCCAGCACAGAGACGACTTCCATTTGGTCTTCTACTGAGTGGTCGCCCAGGCAACGAATAGTCACAACGTCGAGTGGCCAGATGGGTAATCCGCCGTTGGCCTCGCCACAGACGAGTTCCACCGTATCAAGGAACGGGTTCGGCTTACTGATTGTCTTAGAAACACTCAGTTTGGCCGCAACGATGGGGGCTTTGACTTCGCAGCTCCATGGTTCCAGTTTCTCATCGTACGCGCCATGGGTCGCGTTCTTGCCATCGGTGTAGTCTACCTTCAGACCACTCAAACTGCCCGATGATCTGCAGAAAGATATCTTGTTGATTTTGGATGCTGCAGAGATCGTGTCCAATGAGGAAAAGGTGGTAACCGTTGAAGATGCAATTCCTGTGCTCACGCAGTCGCCCAAGTAGAAGCTCTCGGTTGGTTTCGTCTCCGACATGACCTTTTTGGTCTTTTCTTGGAGAGACGGGCCCATTTTGAGCAGGTTATTGGTTGGTGCTCTTGGAACAGCGTTTGTCTGCTCAGGAGAGATATCCTTACCCCAGATGACCCCGAGGTCCTCAAAACCATCAGCAAAGGTGAAGCCGAAGAAGCCACGGAACGACCATTGACTGTGATCAGCCATGGCGAAGCTGTGTTTCTTCCCACCAGATTTGACGCCGGCGGTCATGATATTACATTTCGAAGTTGCAACGGTAAGGCCAGTCACTGAGAGCTTGTGCGCTGGGGTTCTGGCGACGTAGACTTCGAGCTCGGTGATGACTTCATCGAATTGGAGTTGCAACACATGCTGAGGATTGCCATCTCTCTTCCCGTTGGATTTCTCGATCTTTTGTCCATATTTGATGCAGATACCTTGAAGCGCTTGATCGTTGCACCATAGCTGCAATTCTGTAGGGCGCATTCCGGGCGTAAGGTGCTCGAGATCGTTAAAGAAGGCAGCCCCAGTAGATATGATGTCATGGTCCCTTGAAACGTTTTGCATACGATAGTCTCCCGCTTGGTACGCATATTGAGACAAGGATGATTGAACCCGAGGATGGAGTTGAGAGACATCGCCAGCAGCATTAGCAGAGAGATCCTCGTTCTGAGCTTTCTCGGGTGTAATCAAGGCAGATTCAAGCTTTTTCTTGATCATTTCAATCTCATCGTTCTTCTTCTCCAGTTCTTCTTGATTCTTTTTGAGTTCCGCCGTTGTACTTTTCCACTTTTCCATGGTTGGTGGGCTCTCTGGGTCGGCTGTTGGAAGGAGTAATCGGAAGATATTCGGACTGAGAAATTGAGATACTCGTTCCGGATCGCAAGCTACTTTGGGATCCTTTGTAACCGCATCCACTTCCCTCACGATCTTGATCATCTCGAAACGGCAATCGGTAGCTGCTATTTCCAGGCCGTAGACATCTGGGAAGTAGAGCTCAAGCTTGTTTGCAGGGACTTTCTTCCCTACTGGCTGCACAGTCTTTTCTGTATTCGACACTATCGACAGCGCTGTCGAGCTCTGCTCGTTCTTGGCGTCTGACTCTTTTGGCTTCTCCGTTCCGAGATAACGCGCAGTGAATCGCTTGAGGCCATCAGATTCCTTTTGCATATAAAGCACAATATTGTTCTTGTTCAGACGATCCAGCATAGTCTGAATATCCTTCCACATCATCTTGTAGGATGTGTATGCATCGTACAGCGACGCAGTGTACACACCAGCGTTTTCGTAATCGAGCGGAGACCCTTTTCGAGTCTGCTCATGATAACTGCGCAAAGAGGTGTATTTGGTGAGAATGGCACTAGACGAGAGTCAATGGGAAAATACTAAGCTAATAGAACCAGAACTTGCCTGACACGCTGCGGGCCTGAATGAAGAGGTTAGCAGGCTCCAGCTTCGATATGACTTCTCACTTACACGCAGCAACTGCATCCGGAAAGATCATGGCTACCTTCTTCAAGCTCTCCAGATCCCAGTTCGTGATTTTATCGTCTCTGATATCGCCTCCACCAGACCATTTGACGCTGGTCGTGACGATCAGAATGAGGAACCCAGTGAGTAAGGGGTATGGCTTACCTGATTGTTGTTTTTGCGTTCTTGAATGTTTTATCATCAGTCTTTCCGCCTTCGACTTTGCCTGCAACATCAATGCCACTGATCTTCGCCTCGAGCTCAAGCCCGCCGTTGAGATTCCACTTTTTGATCGTATCTGCCGTGGTGACGGAGATTACTGCATCAAACTCTCCACCCTCGATGAACCCTGAGATGAAGCAATCGCCGTATATCTCAGTGAATTGCCCAGGGTCAATGTGGTCAATCGGGCAAAACTCGGTGACATTGTCAGCGACTAAGCGCTGGTTGGTGACCCTGACATGTATGAAGTAGTTTACGTCAGCCTTTTTCATCTCGGTCGAGTCAACGAAGCTTGCATGACCAGAGAGCTTGCCCAGGCTGGCCATCTTGATCGTGAGTGCACCTAGCTTTGAGTTAGAGGCGGAATGACTTTTGGAAACATTGTCTTACCGCTGACATCCAGCTTGTCAAGAACTTCTGAACTATCGTTCACAAACTCTGCAGTCCAACTCACAACCTGGCTGACCTCTTTCTGGCCATCAGCGAAACTTCTTGACATGGAGCCGCTTGATCCTTCAAGGACGGCCTGAGGCGAATTGCTTTCACCGCCCACAGTCAGCTGTCTGGGTCGCCCGACAGCATCGGTCTTTTCAGTCAGCACTTTCGCGCGTAAATCTCCGTCAGTAGCAGGTATATTCCCCGGCTTGCGGACGACGTCATTGACGCAAAGAGTCTGTGTATAAGAGTTGAAGCCCATGCCTAAGCGCATAGCGCTGTTGTATGGTGCGAGCATCAGAGCCATGGTGAAGAAGCTAGTGTGTAACAATGCAGCAAATCTTTTTGCAAAGCCAGAATATTTGAGGACTTCTTCATACAGCCATGGACTCGACAGCTGTTCATAACTCCGAATTTCAACAGACTTGAGTGACACCGTGCTTTCCAGGAATAGCTTCCATGCAAGATGGCTGATCTTGAGCAGGTGTCTGTAACCGAGACGCCATGGCCTGGTGGCTTTCGATAGGCGGTTCGTATCGGTCTCTCCGTCGTGATCAAATTGTCATAGACGGTTGATAGCGCATGGTGAAGAGAGACGATCGTCAGCCTGGAATTTCTTCTATCATTTCTAGCGCTGCACGGTACAAACGTCAGCTTTAAGAAATTAGCCATCGATCCCAATGGAGTTGAACGTGGCTTTTCAAGGGGTCTGTTTCGAGCTGATGGCCTTTGAAGGGTTAGCTCAACATGTCCGCCTCAGGTGTACTAACCGGGTTCGGCCGTTCAACCCCGCATCTCGGCCCAGCCCGCGAAGTCTGGATTCCAGTGGTCCTGGTTGGATACGCCACTTGGAGTGCAGGGCGGCAAGACTTCAGCTTGCTACGTTTCCCTATCGCGCGCCTTTGGGATGGCCAAGTACATCTCGTGAACCCGGCATCCTGTGGCACACGGTCATGTCGCCATCTATTGTACAGCTATCTTTTGGATTCGACTCTATTACAACAACATCGCTGGAAAATGGACATTGTCGATATCTTCCCTGAAAATCCAGTTGAGCCTTCGATCAAGTACGCCGGCGGGTTCCAGACTGCGTTCACAGTACCTTGGGCCAAGGGAAGAGTTGCACCATGTGCAGGTCTTAACACACAGCGCAATGCACAGGACACCCTTTTCGTGCCACTTTCGGCTTTTCGAGATGCACACGCTGCTCCACTACATTACCGCGAATGTCAAATTACTTCAATTGAAGACCAATCGAACTCGGATATTGCGGATCAATCGGAGCTGGGCACGTTTGCTCTCAGCGCCTCTGTGGGAGGTAGCTTTCTCGGTGCTTCCGGTAGAGGAAGTTACGAGAAGAATGTGCGCGATAATGCGAATGTTCGTAAAACTAGCCTCTATGATGCACCGTTAATCACCGCAATAGAAATCTAATATCAGCATTCGAGCTGAGCACACGTGCGGCCAGATTGTTCTGTCACGGGCACCTGAGCTAGATCCAGGCGCGGTCAGACTATTACAGTTCTCCGTCGATCCTATAAACGAGTTTCGTCGAGAGTATGGTGACTTTTACGTGGCAGGGTATCGGGTCGGAGCTGTAAACAGTACCACTATCTACGGAGAATTAGCAGATAAGTCTTTCTTTGAGGCAAAACGAGCAGAACTCGAGATCAAAGCTTTGTTTCTGAAGAAGCACAAGAGCATCAATGAGGAGAGTTACAGTGCTAGTAATGAGGGAGGCCTGGGTATTTCAGCATTTGATTCGCTTACAGCCTCGTATCTCAAATTCACTGCCCGAACTTATAAAGAAAGTCTACTGGCAGGCGAAATCGTCGTCAAAAACAAGCAACTGGCGATGGAGATCGCCAGGAGGGCATCAAAAGTTCTCGAGACAGATTTCTTGCTAGGCAGAGAAGGCACGGTATCTCAAAACATGATTGATCGGCTTTGTGATCAGGGCTTAATCACTGAGCTGCTACTCGTTCCATTCGCATCGCTTCGAGAGTACCAGACCCTGTTGGCACGTCGAAACATGTTGAACAGACTTCTATAGACGTAGCTAGTTGGCGCCAGCAAATGGATTCAGATGTTGCAGAGGACCCAGCTATCGACGAGCGTAGACGATAGTGCATCAGCGGCACCTAGGTTCAAGCTATGACGCCGCTTTGACCATACAATGTGCTGCAGGTGCACGCGCTAGCTTATGCGTTCTCTCGGATAAACACACATGGATGCTGTAGTTTAAGGCTGGCTGAGAGTGGCTGAGCCACTTGCTGAATTGAGATAACCAGAAGCCAGCTCCGGCCAGCCGCACAAGGGCCATTTTGATACCCAATCGGCCTCGAAATTTGACATGCATCTAGTGAGGGCGGCGATCAGCGTGTGATCACATCCACGCAGAAGTCAATAGCACATCCCCGCAGTGATATGCAAGCCATGGCGGCAAGTCCGAATGCATCCTGTATTGGTTGCAATCCTATCCCGGACGCTGGGCATAACCTATAGCATCGGTTACCCGGAGGCATAATAAGCTAAAATGCTCTTTATAAGAGAAGACTGATCACTTTCAGCGTCACCTCGCACCTGTAATCACGTATCACTCTATTCTACAATGGCTACCCTCACTGTCCCCTACAACACTGCCATGCAGCTTGGCTCTGGCTTCAATTCCTATACACAAACGCTATGCATTGATCATGCTGTCGTTCGTGACAGCGAGTTGGCCATAGAAGTCAAGCCCAACATCGATTCCGAGAAGCACGTCGCACAATCGGTCATATACAAGACAAGCGTGATCGATAAAACGACTGATGTTACCGACAATCTCAATGTATGTGTTGTATCTGCTTCCTATTCGGTAACTTGATTTAATTAACGAGACTGTAGGTCAGCGGGGCTTTCAGCATCAAATATGACCAGCTCAAAGTGGAGGGTAACGCCAAATTCGTCGACACTGACAAGATCAAAAACAGCGATGTCAGCATTATGATATCTGTCAAGGTGGTAAATCAGAGCATATATGATCATCAGTTGCTCAAGTTCCAGCCGGTGTCTGGTATCAAGGACTTGACAGCGCAACGTTTGATTGAGGTGTACGGAGACTCTTTCATATCGGGTTGGCAGGAGGGAGGCGAGTTCTTGGCCATCATCAGTATCAAAGCTAAGAATAGAGAAGATGCCCAGACAATTGTTGGCGAGTAAGACTATTCATTTCCTGTCGTGTCGCAAAAACTTACTCCTTATAGCGCTCGAATGGCCTTCACCCGGAACAAGGACCTTCCTGAAAATGCAGACAAAAAGGACATAAAGGTCGATCTGGACCTTAGAATTGACAAACTGAAGAAGAACATCACTGCCGAAAATGAAGTATCGGTCTCTGTAACCTGGACTGGCGGTGGTCAGCGTCTCAAACCAGGCGAGTGAACCTTTCCACGCTCTGTAGTAAGACACTAACACGCAGAAATCTGCAGCCGAAAAAGATTGGGATTTCGATACAATGAAAGATGTCGCCTTGAGATTTCCAGATTTGTGCGCGAAAACGCCTATGCGTACTCACGCCCTTATCACAAAGTATACGGCGCTTCGCAGTTTCTACACAGCCCAGACATTTGATTTGCCGTTGTACGACAAAACAGGAGCGTACACTGGCATCCTCCAAGAGGCCTATCTCGATTACAAGGCCATCCTTGGATCAATCCAGATACTTGCGTTTGACTTTGCCGAGGGCACAAAGGCTCTCGTCGCCAATCCCCGTAGTGCCAAAGCTAGTAGGTATCATGCCTCCGCAGCAAGTGCAAGGCTGACTTCATTAGTCACGTCAGCGAATCAGACGGAGAAAGAGAGCACCAGTCAGGAAGTTCCTCCGGCTACAGAAGTCGCATCTGAAGACGGTAGCATCGTTGACTTGAATGCCACCGTTGCCACTCAAGGAAAACCCGGGAATGTGCCCAAAGTTATCACAGTGCCTCCACCAACCATTGGAGAGCCTTTTTTGCCGACCATTGAGGGACTCGAGGAGGCACGTCTCAAGTGCCGCTTCATGATGAGCCGCATCATACAGGAGGTGAGCAACTGGCTTTCATTTGCATTTTTTTCTGACTAACGACGAAAGATCGACAACATCACTATCAAGCCGGAGATTGCGGTGGATGAGTCAAGGTTACTGCCGTATCTCAGCCCATTCTTGTTCAAGATGCTGCTACCCATCGGCGTACCACTACCAGCTCAGGCCAATCAGGCTGACCAGGCTGTTGTTGCGTCAAATGCTAACCCTGATAAGTTGGCCAACAAGTACATGGGTGCAGTAGCATAGGCTATACATCTTTGCCATGGTTTGGTGGCTACGTAGAACAACCCGTACTTGTTTGTACAAAATGTGATTTACTAGATCGTGGAATGAAAGATTGTATTGGATGTGATAGCCTGCATCGAACGTCATTGACAGAAGAATTTAAAGTTCCGGAGCCGAGCTGATCTGATCTATGGTCAAAATCTTGGTAGTTATCTCGTTGTAAACGAACAGAGAGCCCCCATAACCATTTCGAATATGCCCGTCTTGAGTAAGTTGTTGCCTCTATCCCCATATTCGTGAGCTTTGTGAAACCTAGGGATTCCCGGACACCATATATATGCGTAGCCACAATTAATGCAGGCACCATTCGCCATTCGAATGGATGGAAGTCTTTTGACTGCGCCAACAGCGAGGCTCCACAAACTCTGATTACCTCAAGCGACAATGCTACCCGATAGGCTTAGATACATACACTCAGCTAGCCCAGTGTCTCCATAGGATGTGCGCTAATAGTGTATCGACAGCGGAGTCGCCGAACGCCACTACTTGGCCTCGGTAAAAGCTGGATATGGTTCGTACATACACCGCTAGCTGTAGGCTAGTGATGCATTTCAGGTTGTATGGGCACACTTATCGACCTTTCTAGACATACCAGGCGACATTTTCTGGGCTGGCTCTGGCCCATACCTGATGATTCGTGTTGCTCCTTCACGACAACAGCTGAGTGACCCATCTGATGCAAATAAGGCCGGTTCTAGAACCCTGGTCAGCCCCGAAGACTGCAGACGTGACTAGAGCCTCGAAATTTGATCTGTTACCTAACTAGAGCTATATAAACCTTGTTGGTGCACACAACGAGGTCATATTCCTTCCTATAGTCGATCAAACCACCCAACGCTACTGATACAGGCTTCAGAGATTCTCTTACCATCTTTTTACCCATCATCTCATCTCAATCCAGACAGATATCATGTCGAACTCAAACAAAGTCAATGGGTACTTTTCCGAGTATCAGCAGTCGACCACGACTGGGATCGATTGGTCCAGCTATACGCAAGCCTACGCTCCAATCGACGAGTATATGTCCAAATATAGGCAAGGCTACATCGGCTATGCTGCTGCTGCTGCCTACGTCCAAGATGCCTGTCGTTCAGCTCTGAGCTCCAGCGGAATCCTCGCAAGCGTCTCATCGCGGGCCAAGGATGCCGAAAGGCTCAAGACTAAGTTGCTGAACATGCACAATGAAAAGAGATTTGACAAGGCCAACGATATTGAGGATAGGATCGTCGATATCATTGGCGTCAGGGTTTTATTGTACTTTCCGAGCCAAGTGGAGGAGGTGATCGCAAAGTTCGAATCACTTTTCCCAGACGCAATTTTGGACAGAAAGGAGCTCAACGATACAAAGAGCACCGAGGGCAATTCTATGACAGCCCCGGTCATTCTGGAAAAGCTCGGCAAAGACGACACGATGAAGAAGCTCGGTTCAGGTCCAGTGGCGGTGACTGACACGGACAATGGTTACATCCATCAAAACCGATACGGGGGTTACCGTGCGGTGCACATTCGATTCACGATGCCGACATTGGATTTGGGCGCCGAGATGAGATCCATGTTTACCGGGCGTTTGAAGGTCGAGGTCCAGATTCAGACTTTGCTCATGCATTCATGGTCCGAGGTCAGCCACGATCTCATCTACAAAGAGCTGAGCGGAAAACCCTCGGTCCAGGAGTACCAGCTGCTGGATTGTCTCAACGGAGTCGGAAAGCTTGGTGAAAATGTTATCCTGCAACTCCGAAGCACCATGGATATTCGCCTCAAGAAAGGCTCGAGTGGCTTCAAATCATCATTCATACTCGCACAGTACATCCGCGAAAACGTGCAAGGAGGGTTTGGCACACCAGTAATGGGAGACGTGGATGACTTGTTGGACTTCTTGAACCTTGCGCAGCAAAATGACCCCAAAAGGTTGTTGGCCGCGATCGAAAAGGCGAAGGAACGGATCGTACAAATTTCCCCCCCAACTGGTATCAGCCAAATTCCCTTAGTTGACATCATCTTGAATCAAATGGTCGAGAAGATCACCTTCACCCCAGAAACACCCTTCCTGCTCAAAGCTCAGAATGATCAACTCAGCAAAGCCACATTAAACAACAAGAACGAGATTCTCGCCACCATTTTCGATCTCACGTGCCGGCCAATCCTGCAATCCGTCCCAGAAAAGATTCTCGCCACCAATTTGCAGTTTCCATTGGCTTTCCGGAAACTACAAGAGCTTAAATTGTACAATGACAACAAGCCTGCTATGCCGAGGACAGCCTTTCCGGTGCATCGAAAAGAGCTAGGAGTATCAGATGTCAAGACAGCGTTAGGCGATCTGGTAAAATACTTTCAGAAGCGTATGGATAATGCGATAGTGCTGCAGTATCTACGCCATGCGCAAATCAGGGCGTGGAAGCAGTTTGAAGGCAGAGACTTTTCAAAGGACTTTGTCTAAGTGGTAGCTGAGAAATCCCTACACCTGTCTCGGCCCGTGGTATGTGGGGGCAGATGACGTCAAGCTGACACATGGATGGAGTCGAATAATTGCACGCTATCTGTTCGCACTACAAGCTTTGGTCTGGAAGAATAGTGTGAGAGCAGGGCGAAGGGAGTGGAAAAGGACGCATGCGTAGTTTATGAATCTATGATTGATCTCCAGCTATGAAATATCAACGAAGTGCACTTTCGATCTTTTGCGCAGATAAAATGTCGGGACGATCCTTCAAACCTTAAGATGTAGTGTTGTCGCGTTGTCTCGTTGTAATCGTTACTGCAATCTGTGCCTGCCAAAATCTGCCCGATCTGGACTGGCCAGGAGACAACTTTTCAACGTTACCTTTGAACAACCCAATCAACACCACGGGTAACAAAAAGCTGGACGAGATGCAAACGTTTTTTAAGCATCAGGTATGGATGTATTCTTTACAAGTGTCAGTCATTCTTATCTACCTCCTACTGATCGATGGCAGCAACCACTCTTATTGAGTTTCCTTACCGCCAGTCGCATTATGGATCCTTACGCCCAGATCGTCCAGACAAAACGCAAAGTCCAATTTGCTATCCTCCATTACAGCGATCTCGAAAGCGGTGAGGTTTCTGATGGTATACCCGTACCTTTCGAAATCAACATGGGTAGCGGCGTGGTGACCAACGTCATGAAAGACCAGATCTAAATGTGTTATCTCGGTCTTGCCGTCAAGGATTTGCCAGAACTTATATCTGATAAGCACGGAGTCTGAGGATCGTTTCTGACGTGGCTTAATGGAGAGGGATAAGAGATCGAACATGGGCGACGACGTTTTGTCGTTGAGCTGCGCTGGTCCGATCTTGATCTGGGGGGTTTGGCCTTCAGGGTGTGAAAAGCTGATCAAGGTGTTTGTGTGTGATGTTGCACAATCTCTGTCCTCATCATCGAGAAGACTACTGTCGGTCACATTGACGACTGTCAGTCCCTCGAAGAGAAGACCATCGTAAAGTTCAATAGCCGCTTGTCCGTCAGTCGTTGAGATGTCATCAAACTGGGTAGCACATTAGCGTGCTCTTATTGCATCCAAACATTCTACGAACATTCAACACGGTAGATCGGTCGTCCTTCGTTGAGAGTGGAGTCTGCCAGTTCAGGCGTTGGGCCGCGATATGATCTGCGTTGACCAGCAGATACGAGCTTGGACTGGTGTTATGACCGCAGGCAAACCATACGCGAGTCGAGATAAGCAACACCGCAGATAGTGTTTTGTACATAGTGATATTGCCGTGCGAGAAGATGGCTTCTGATGATCTTGGACGGTATTGTTGTTTGTTCAAAGCTGCGACGACGTCGGTAAAACGGGGCGATAGCAGTTCACGGATCATCTGTAATCTGTATTGATGCAGCGCAGCCTAAAAGCCGGCCGAAATGACGACTCCTTCACTCATGCAGCCCTATAAACGTCGACGCAACATACACGACTATTGAACAATGTTTGCCGAATCGTGTCGCCGATCGCTCTTCAGTGAGAGTTGAAGACGGCTTACGTCTCTTCTTGTCAGTATTCCTGATGTTCATGCCTCAGACATCGAGTATGCGACCTGAGGCAGTCGCCACGTAACTCATGTCATGTCAGGTCTCTAATCGGTAAAGTTGCGGGGTGCCGATTCGCTGTGATGCATGTGGAATAGCGCAGTGAATCCTGCAAAAATGGCCGAGGAATCTCGATGGATTGAGTTTACTATGTCGGACAGTGATAGAACGACTGAACAAAAGTTAATAATATAATACATGTTATCTTGGGAGTCTTCAAGCAGTCGTGATGTTTTTGGTGGGGAAGAGGACGCAATCATACTTCCATATGATTCTCTCCACATCATCCACCTTTTGTATGCACTTTCGGCCACCGAAATATGTGGGTTCTTCTGACCGGTAAGGTGGCGAATCAGAAGCGGGGTTACTCTCATAAGGCCTCCTGCTGATTGGCATAGCCTATCTCAACCCCAGCTGCCTTGTTGCCTTCTTTATGATTCGCGAATCATGTCTGTTCTTTTCAGCCATACAAATCTATTCTACCAATAGTATGCGTCTGAACACTCGTTTTTCTACCAATGGCATGCGTTTGAACACATATGAGTTATACGTTTCAAACATCATGTCGTTGGTCATTGCAATTCTTCTACTAAGCGTGGCTTCCATCGAAGCCTCGCCAATTCTACCTGTTCACAATGAACAATTAGGATACGATCATGTACCTACGGACTCGAATCAACAGCAACTTGGGTGGTCGCGACAAGACATCTTCACACTGGTCAGCGTCTGCGTAGCCATAGTTGGAATCTTTATTGGTGCCTTAGGCGCATCGCCCACACTACGCGTGTGGCTATGCAAGCCTTCCAGATGTAAGGCAACCCCGTCTTGCGCACCATTTCGAGATTTGAGCAATATTCACCCCCAAACCTAGATTGCGCATTCGCTGTACGGCGCAGGAAGTCAAGAAGAGAAGACAATATTAGACGGCAATTGCAAGAAGAATACGACGAGTACCTTAGCTTTCGCGAATTTCGCGCGATGAGGAGCAGCTGGCGATAGCAGCTGAATGTCATGCCTGTAGACCAAGGCGCACATTGATGTTACCGGCTTGAACTCACACAAGGGTATTCGTGTTTGGCAGAAATATGGGTGAAGCGCTATCTCCGTAGTAAGAAAGGTGAATGGAATAGTTGTCGGAAACTCTGTAGATAGAACAATTTACCTCTCTATATCTGAGAGCATCTGTAGCGCATTTTTCCGAAGTGATTTCGTGTCTCAGAGGTGACATATAAGAACCAGAATGCTGAGGTAGAGATGCGAATTGGACCCAGTGGACGAAGAAGACAAGAACACCTAGCACTCGCACGCTCGATGAGTGTCCGCTCCAGGATAAGATCGACGCCTATGATGGTCCCTACTGTACGAGGAGCGGTAAGAGTTCGATGGAAAGTGAGACTATGATCTGGATAGCCCGGATTGACCAGGCTATGGCATTCCGCAGGATAGCACTGAGTATCCTTCGTGCGAAACCCAGCCTGATGCTATACGAACATGGTAGAGCACGCTAAATGGTGCCGACCCTTGCATCATTTCCGACCTCGTCGTTGGTGGTAGACATCAACCTGTACACGTCCTATGCGTGAGGCTTTCCAATGGTAGAAGACACTCCTTGTGACCGTGATTCGGCATAACCCCGCAAGATAGCATTGGGCATGCTCCGTTTCGGACTCAGCCTGATGCTATAGCATCATGGTAGAGCACGCTAAATGGTCCCGACCCTTGCATTTCCGACCTCGTCGTTGGTGGTATACATCCACTTGCACTCACGCTAAAATGAGGTTCTGCTGATGCTCAGTATTCAAAGGCGTCCATGCTTGCTGCGCATTCAACGAACGACACATTCAGCCCATATCTACCCAGTCGTGTTCTGACTGCATAGAACACTCCCCTCGTCTTGTCATTTAGGAAGGTGGACACTGCTAAGGTACTTGCATCTACCTAGGTAGACATTGCTTTTCGACATGTTTCTCCAGCTTCTGCTCGTTGCCTTGACATACCGCATTGGTGATGCATACGCTCACCCAATCCAAGTTGTTTCGCCGCGGGGGTATGTCAGACGCTCGACCGACCAATCACAAAGCCTGTCTGTGGAAGCTATCGTGGGAGTGATTGCCGTGGTCGTAGCCATATTTGGGATAGCGCTTCCCTTTATCTGGCCCCGCTTGAGGTCGAGGCTAGATTCCCGCCGTCGCTCTCGCTCCCGTCCCAGCTCTACCGGTGCGTCTTACTTCAACCCTCTATCTAAATTGTTTGAAATCCTAACAGAGGCCAGCAAATTCAGACATCCCGCTTGTCAACGACCCGAGGCAGAATGCCATAACCTACACCTCGGACGACCCCCGAGCCTCCGTCGGCGCCGGCGAGACTGGTATAAGCCGACCACAACGCGCGCGATTCGATAATTGCGAACAACAGCGCGGGCTGATAAAGCGTACGCTCACGTTCTGAGGGCTTGGATATGATGCATACATACTCGAGCAGTTCGGGCGTAGTATAGGACGCAGCTGCTGGCGCCAGCGACGAGCGGATACCACTTGTAAGAGAGGGTTGGCATGTATTGCAGGCAGTTCGTCAGGCAGTTCGTCAGGCAGTCGCGAGTCACGACTCATAGGTGCAGTCCTCGTGGGCGATTTTCAACCTTGAATACGTCTCTTTGGCTCTGGCATACGAAGGTTTTCTATCCTGTTTCTTCAAGCATCTACCGAAGCATCGCATCAGTGCAAGCGATTAATTCAGAGCCTTCTCACGTTCGAACACGATGATCTCTTTACATACAGACCATGAGTGCGATAGCCGGGATAAGATTTCGACACTTGACTTCACGAAGCCTTCTCTCGTCTCTCAGCGAGAGTATAAAATATACTTCCGTCGTAGATACCACGGATATCCTCCTTCATCATTCGGCCGTCCTCAGGCCACAACATAATGTAGGTGGCAATCCCTGTCATCATCAGCAAGAACACTCGTAGACAAAAAAACTGGCTCGACTTACATTCGAAGAAGGCACCACCCCAACCAATTGGGTCAGCAATGCACCGTTGTCCCTTGAGCACATTGCCCACATCCCAGATCGTGAGGTAGTCCCTACCCTCCGCGTATTTGGCGAAGATGTCTTCAAACCTCTGCGGCACAAAGCGTCCTTCGTGGTCATACGTCCCGGTGTCACTGCCATGCTTATCCCTGTGTACGTTCTTGAGGAAGATACCTGTTGAGATGGCGTACAAAGTCAGTGTACGTCTCACATCGATTGGAGTTGGAAATGCTTACGAAAGAATGGATCAGGCAGCCATCCAGAGCATGTCGGGTACGAAAAGTTGGAGTGGATAACGAACACCGCCACGATGGACAGGATGATACCGTAACCAAGCCGATAGAAGCCAACGAATGTATCCTGCGGCCAAAGGATCCCGTCGTGGTCGCGGTCAAAGAAGTCGCAATGTTGCTGTAGGACGGTCTGATGAGAGTGCTTCTCCCTCCAGCCTGGTGTGCCATCAGGAGATTCTGCTGATGGGGCGACGTTTGCACGCGCGGTGCCTGCTCATGTCAGCAATGCAGCTGTGAGATATCTCATGAGCGAACACATACCTGTATGCTGGAGTTTTGAGCCTTCCGAGTTCACGAAAGGTTTTCTCTGCTCGGTGATGGGTACATCGGGGATTGAGACCACCACTCCATCGTCTCCATTCGTGAGACGCTCGGAATGCCTCATGATTTCTGCCATGTTTCTATTGTCGGGCATCTTGTCGGTGACTGTAAGTTCGTAAAACTCAGAAGCGAAAACAAGAGGGCAAATAAGAGGAATTACAAATATAATCGCAGAATTCCGCGCTTGAACATTTGCATGTGAAAGCTACTTAGGTACCGTTATGTTCCGCTATCATGACGTCACGCTAGTGGAAACAGCCTTATCCCAGCCATGGAAGTTTCAAAGTACGCTTAACTATGTAATCATGCAATCGTCATCCCAAAAACAATACCTGAAGCACGTTTCTGTGCTCGGAGCAGATTTGCTTGCCAACGACCAAGCGCGTCGCTAGCCAGAGATCAGCGCAATCGACATCTGCAGCAACGGCTCGCGCCGCCTTCGTCCAGACAAGCTAACCAGCAAACCGGCAACACCAACAACAGCATCACACCTCTTTGTGTGTTGATAACTCACCTTCGCATCACATCATTGTATTGCTCCGGACGTGAAATTACTATTCAACATCTGGGGTATCCTACATGGATGCACGTGTCGCCCTCGTAGCATCTCTTAGCGACACAACTACACCTCTCGCGACCCACGCGTGTTCCGCTAAGTTCCGCTTCAACATCGATATTAGGAGCCGCACTACCTGCTATTATGCCTAGGAAGATCTGTGACTTTCTAAGAACCCCATTCATCGAAGCAATCGTGTACAGACGCCACTCTGCACTGTTCTCAGGGTGTAATACTTGCTGGCTACGGCTGGAAACGCGTGGGGAGGGGTACTTCTATACTTCTGTCCCGTCATCTCCGCGACGGAGACAAGCGAAGAGCCTGTGACAGGCACACAACATGGAAATTCACCAGGTGTCAGGGCGAATGTCTCTCCATAGCAAGTTTTGTGGGCCACTGTCACGGTCCGCTCGTTGGCCGACTCCGTATTCTCTCTTTCTTGAGTCCTCCGCTAAATGAGCCTGGTCCTTGAACAGCTTTTGGGGATGATAAAGAAGCCAAGCTTTCTCGTCATTGACAAGAGTGATTGGTTGGCGTCCTGCAAGAGGTCAAGCATCCCTGCAAATCGACCAATGTAATCGATGGATTGGGACTTGTGCATGGCTGACGGTGGCGCGGCTCCAGGGTGTCTGGCGCATGGCAGAATGCATGAGGCTTTAGCATAGCCTCAAACCGTGTGAGCAATAGATAGTTCGGCCCAGCTTAAGTTTCAATTCCTTTCTAATGACAGACCACTTGTCGCAACGACGTCCCAGTAACACCTACAGTCACTCGAAGCACTCACCACCCTTCTTCATCTCCCCTGTGCATATTACGACTACTCCAATCCATAGTGCCCTCAACATCTGAAAATGCAGGCTATCCTCCGGGTTTTCTGGGCTCTGATTCTGATGCTGATGGGCGATCACCTTGTATTCACGACCCACGCAGCCGTAATAGCACACGCTGTAGGGCGAGACTCTACTGCGGGGCCATCTGTCCAATCACACGGCATGTCCACCGAAGCACTTCTAACGCTTGTTGGTGTTTGCGTAGCTGTCCTGGGGTTAGTGCTCACTCTAGTGCTATCATGGCCTAGCCTGAAAGTGAGGTGGGGGCTGTGCACATCTCGACGCCTTCATCCCCGCCAGCGTTCTCGTTCACTCTTTACAGGTACGTCTCTAGACATCGATTCAAGACTGATTCCCAGATGCTGATTGTGTATAGCCGGTTCTGCGATTGCCCTTGTCAACGCTCCCGGAACGCTCGCTGCCCCTGCCCGCCCAGCTGAACCTTGGACCCACAGCTCGAATGGCGATCAAGTACCGCGACCGCAACGCGTCCAGTCGTGCTACACTGAGCAACAACGTGCACTGATGCGACGCGCGCAAACATCCTGAGAACTCTAAAGGATGGGAAAGACTCTCAGGCCGTTAGGATAACATGGCGGAGGATTGTCCGCAGTGTCAACTTTCAACGGGGTGTCGTCGGACGCTTTCCAACGAGGCGTATGATCTGTCGCATTTACAGTGTGATAGCCTCAGCCCTGTGAGCTGTCAGCTTATTTGTATGCGCCTGTTCTTCCCCTACCCGTTCTCATTCTCGTGGCTTTTCAGGAATCCCTTCTCGCCAGTTCGCATAAACAAAGATGGAATTGCATTTCGATGTCGCATTTCAAGCATGGGGAATGCTGATGGAGCACTAGAGTTCTTTTGATGCTTTGAGACTATTATAGTTTTTCTTCGCAAGCCTGTGGTCTCTATATTTATGTACACACTTGGATCAGACCGGAAGTGTTGATGCGATCCTCCTAGGGCGCAAGTCGAATAGCGTCTCGCCGTGCAACAATACAACTAGTCTTATATTCAGGTACCTGGAGAAGTTGATCGTAGCGTTATACCTCCCTGTATCACAGCCTGCTGTCTTCTGATGAGGCATTCTACATCGTCATCGGAAATCTGATTTTTGCTCGTAACGTTTCAAGCTTTGGAAAAACACCTGCTTGTTCGAAGCACCGCTGTCTCGGAAGAATTCCGTCTTCTAATGGAATGGCTAGAGCTTTTCAACCTATATCTGTATAGACTTGTTGAATGATTACCAATTCTGTTGATCATTACGCCAAGTCGTTATCTGCACGTGGTTTGTCATCTCAGCCTCGTACATTCTAGGCCCAGCATCTGCAACTCAACAATCACACAAGGAAGTCGCACAGCCTAGCTGAAACCTCCTCTCACTTTTTATTGACCTTGCTTGTCGTCTTCGATACCTTACTCCTAGCAGAATGAGATGCGCCTCCTTCGCAGGGAAGATGACGGCAGCTTCAGCCTTACCGAATTCATAGGTCATGACACTCCAAGATATGCCATACTCTCGCACACTTGGGGCGCCGATAACCAAGAGGTTACATATCAAGATATCCTGCAAGACACGGGTCATAACAAGAACGGCTACAAGAAGTTACATTTTTGCGCGAATCAGACGAAAGCAATCTACCTGGAATATTTCTGGGTCGACACTTGCTGCAGGTATTTTAAAGCCATTGGTTGCAGACATGATGGCTACTAACCTTTTTCTAGTACGTGCGTTTGATTTCATTGCAGACAATACCATTGGCATCGTTGCACGAAACTTTGGACTTGGCTAACGCGTCGATTGATATCGCAGTCGATAAGTCAAGCAGTGCAGAGTTGACAGAGTCTATCAACTCCATGTACCAATGGTACGAAGCAGCCAGGATATGCTTTGTTCTTCTGGAAGATCTACTTCCTGAACAACCACTGGAAGCATATTTGACTTCCTGTCGTTGGTTTTCACGGGGATGGACACTGCAAGAATTGATCGCGCCGCGTTTGGTGGAATTCTTCGACCAGAGTCTGCAGTTTATTGGGAGTAAACGCGATCATGTCGAGTTGATCTCGGCTACCACCAAGATTCCTCCTCATATCTTACGGGAAGGTGTCGAGGGAGCGTCGATCTGCGTTGCCGCGAAGCTATCCTGGGCTGCTGGGCGCCAGACAAAACGTAAAGAAGACGCCGCATACAGTTTGCTTGGACTATTCAATGTCCATATGCCCTTGATCTACGGTGAGGGCGACCAAGCGTTTCAACGCTTGCAAGAAGAGATTGTCAAACGACACAACGACATGACTATTTTCGCCTGGAATCCTCTTGAAAGGCAACTCTACGAGCGACAATACATAGGTCTCTTCGCTCCTTCCCCTGCACACTTTGCAAACAGCTTCGCTATCTACCCTTTCGACGACGTATTCATTGAATTCTCTACCACGAACAAAGGTGTTCTATTCACGAGCGAAATTCGCCTACGTGTTGTAGAGCAACCAGGTGACGACGATCCTGGTGTGGTTTACCTCTTTTGCCTAGGTATGAGTTCTCAATACGGTGGTTACGAGAGACGAAGGCATACCGGCATCTACCTTCGCAAACTTGGGCCTCGTTTGTACTGTAGACTTGGTAACATCGCGATGGCAAGTTTTCCTTGGAAGGCCACTCGGAGATTGAGCACACTAGACGTAACGGCAACACACATCTTGATTGATCCGATCGTCGCCACAACCAACGTCCCCTTCCTTTATCGTATGAGTTCGGTACATGTCCCATGCCCCGGCAACATCCGAGTTGACAAAGCATACCCAACAACCCTATGGGATCACACAGACAGTCTTTACATGTCAGCGAGGTTCTATGGATGGACTCTACACCCCGTGGTGCTAGCCCTATCTATTTGGGTATGCAACGTTCCGTTAGTACTGCTATGCGACTACAAAGTAGAACCACCGGTCTTGAAGGCATTTCAACCATTACAAAGACCGCGTGAAACTGCGCTCATCTTCCAAGAAAAGTATCGGGAGGACGGAACATCGTGGCAAGATCTGTTCCTGCAAGCTCCTAGCTTGGAGACACTGAACGATACAGTTTTTATCGATCAGGGAGCTACGTCAATGCGGATTCGCTTCACCTTGGAGTCCAAACATATATGGGTACTGTACAAGAAGATCACTGCCAAGAGTCTCACTTTCTCAATAGTACATGTTCCTGCAGGCCTGGACAAACCATTGAGCCAAAGCAGAATTGAAACAAAACGTCTCGGCCTGGGAAGTTCTCCGACGCACAATGAATACGTTACATACGGTCGGGATACTTGTTAGGATGATCTCGCTTCAGGTCTTTCAAACGCTGATAGTTGTCATTTTTGTACATTATACCTAGTGGTTAGATAAATAGGCTAGTAGATCTTGAAAGAAATTGTTGGCTTCGCTGACTTCAGCATATAGCATGTACTTTGGTAACGCCGAGCGAATGCTTAAATAAAGATCTGATCAATCCAACTTCGGACATACCCATGAGTCCGGAGGTCATGAGCATATCCCTAGCTATGACTTTGCAACGAAGGCTCCGCCGGGCGTATTTTTCGCGGAAGATCTAGCTGAGTCAGATCAAAGCAAACCATGTAACCGAGTTTATCTTACACAAGCGGAATGGATTCCGCCAGCTAAGGTAGGATATTAGACTTCCTGCTTACTATCGAGATGCTGCTGACATAACCAACTTCGGTCCTAGGACCGGGCTATCCGGCGTTCGCTTAGGACCAGGTACGGCCGCACACGTGGAGATACACAATCATGTTTTGCAACTAAGTACCTTTCAGGAAAGAGTGACATGGGTGATGTGCATATTCAAGGCTAATCATCCATCCAGGGTCTTGAACTAGGAGGGATGGACCTTCTTGGCGACACTACTTACCCGTCTCGGCCCGATCGTACTTACAAAGATCTACGAGTCGGCCTTTCTCTCCTGGTCCTTGCGCTCGAACTCACATGTATCTCGTTCATGCAGCTTGGTAGACGCCATTTGTATCAAGTCGCTCTTTACCATGTCGCCATCACAGTGTGACAAGAAATTGAATGTCCGGAACAAGAAAGAACAAGATATTAGTTCATCAATGGGGGTTTGATCCATTCCTTCGACAGCGAAAAGATGAAGAAGCGTCAAACGACCTTACTAAGACATCTTCGTACAGGGATCTATCACAAGAGCAACGGTGTTAAGGCGCACCAACATGAGGGCTCTAGCACAGGCATCCGGAGAGTCTCCAATCTCGACCCCGGTTTAGCTCAGGATGTTATCCATGGGCCTCAGGGCTATGGGCCACGCCGAGCTTGGACCTTAGCCAAGTCAATAGCTGACATAATTTTGAGAGCGCATCTCGAGACACTTAAGTACGCTGCTGGCTACTGTGTTGCTCGAAACAACTGCTCTATTAACAAAGAATAGCACTCTCTATCAGCCTACTATATTTTCCAAGATGTTCCTCGGATCATCAACCTTCTTGGCTGCTAGCATAGCACTGCTACCTCAAGCTACATCGGCAACATCCTTCGGTATCCCCTCTCGCCAGCAACAGGGCCTCTACAACTCTAAAATCGTCTTCGAGGCACCTAACCCTACTTGGCTTGAAGGAATAGCAGTGCGATACAATGGTCAAATCCTCACTACGACCATTAGCGGGCCAATGTTGCTACAAGTCGACCCAAGCCAGAAGCGCGACTCAATCGTAGTCGCACAAATCCCTGGCGCCACGGGCACTTTGGGGATCACCGAGCTCGAAAAAGATGTGTTCTACCTCAGCGCGGGCGATATGAGTAACGTAACTGCCACGAGCTTGGTTTTCCCCAGCAAGATTTGGCAAGTGGATATGCGTCCTTTCCGCGTGAATCAGCAAGGAAATGTCGCTCGGCCAGCAAAGATATCTTTGGTTGCGGATCTGACTAACACTACGTTTGTCAACACCTTGTCTCGACTTGGACCGAAGGACAACTCGGCAATACTCATCTCCGACTCTGGCGCTGGTCACATCCTTAGGCTAGACGTTCGCACTGGCATTTCTTCAGTGGTCATCAGCGATCCAACTATGCTATCGACCATACCTGGAGCAGCAGGTGTCACTGGAATCCATATCCACGGCTCCGAGCTATTCTACGCCAACTTCGCTGCGACGACCTTCTTCAAGATGCCCATCTCGCTTACCACTGGCATGCCGACCGGGCCAGCAACGCTCATCACGAATGGCACTCTTATCGACGATTTCACACTCTCCAGAGATGGCAAGAAGGCGTATGCGTGCACGAATCCTCGTGGTCAGTTGATCGAAATCGATATACCTGGTCAGACATTTCGCCCCGTTGCTGAAGGTCTGAATGCAACATCCGCTGCACTAGGTCGTGGTCGGTTCGATCGGAACAGTGTGTACTTTGTCAGTGGTGGTGGATTGGACTTTCCTCTTACAAATCCAGGCGTTTCTGGCGGAAGAGTTGTGAAGGTTGATCTTTAGATAGAAACCATTGTTGTATTTGAACCGCGGAGATCACACAGTTGTCAATACTGGCCAAAGCGTGCAGGCCCTCCAGCAGCTATCGTGTTTCGGAGTGGCGATCTGAATAGTATCTTGTAGTCAACATTGTATCCATAGCGATATATTGGGTGTCATGATGATGTGTACTAACACCACGGTCAAAATCGAGGTAGAAACTCTAATGTGGGTGATAGTGTCGTGTTGAGGAAAATGCTCAAAGTTGACTGTGGGATATGAATGCTGTGCGGAGTAGAGAGACCCTAACCGCTTGGTTGTTTGTCCGCCCGTGGTCATCTCAACGTATGCCAGATATATGTTGGGCTTGAATAATGAAATGATATGATCTCAATCACTTTGCTTAACCTCCGTCCAGGTTTCGGAGTATCTCGTTCATTGCCTTTTTACGCCCATATCAGCGACGCCATATCACAACCCGTCAATGTGCAGCTCTGTTATATAATGCTTTCCATTCGTATTGAAACTACACTCCAAATGACAACACACCTACAATCAACATTGTTCTATCCCTCCAAGTATTGAAACCAGTTCCAGACTGCATTCCGTCAACGCCATGCTATCATAGCTGCACCGCAACGATCTTCCCACCTGCCTTCGCCTGACCATCCGCCCCAAAGCCACCCATTGTCGTCAAGTAAAGAGTATTGCTGTCCTTCTTTGTTCTTCCAAATGCCGACGCTGTGGTGCCTGCCACAGAATCACCTTCAGCAATAGTCGTAACGTTGCCATCAAGCGTAATGTGCTGAAGTTTGTCACCTTGTGGCGCCGCCAATGGTTCAGAGACGTAAATACTGTCATCCTTTGCGATTGAGATATCATCCGGACCAGTGAGAGTAGAGTCGCGCACGGTCTCGAAAAAGCCGAAGGGTTTGCCGGTCGACGGGTGGACACGAACGCGGCCGGCGATAGCCTGGGCAGTGTTGGTGTAGTATACGTAATCGTCATGAACCTTGATTCCGTTGGCACCGAGCTGCAGCCCGGGTGCAGAGAAGTTGGCCTCTAAGCTAGGGTCCTCCAGAACGACTCCCGTCTTTCCAGTTTTGATGTTGAATGCAGCGATGTTTCCATACCACGAGTCTGCCAAAAGCAGCGTTTCCTGGTTCAAAGTGGCCATACCATTGGGCATAGCCATATCAGGTAGTTCTGCCATCATGCTGACCTTCGCTGTCTTCTCCTTTTGGCTCAGATCAAGCTTCCATAGCGAGTATTTCTGTAAGGTTGGCCGGTATTCAGGTGCAGACGTCGAAACTATCACAGCGAATACATCCTTCTTGAATTCGGTGATGCCGAAAGCACCAGTTGCGTTTGGAAAGGTGGCGATGGTGGAGAATGTCGCTGGTGAGGTTTGTGGGTGAACAATGTGAACCTGAGCATCGCCGATGGTGGAAACGAGGAGAGAGCCATTTTGCATGGCAGCGATATTTTCGAGCCACGTTCCATTAGAGAATTGGTGTACTGTCGACACATAGGCCGCAAGCGCCGGAGCCATGAGGGTTGAGAGACTGGAAAGATACTTCATCTTGGTGGTGATTTCGACGGTCGGTGGACGATTGAGGTCTTGGTATAGTGAGATTGGGATAGTTTAATGATGGAAGAGCCATCCTCTTACTTATACTTGTCTTGCCAGATGAGAAAAGGAAGCGTGCTTTTGTTTTCAGTCCGGTCGACCATGCATTGATTTTTGGGCCTTGGCGACGCTTGAACGTTTTCTTGCTACTTGCTTCATAATCTCATCAATATTTTGGATCAAACATGCTTGTTGATCTTGACACTTTGCCATAACTGTACTCTTCGTCCGCTTAGGAATCCGAGTTGTATGTTGAAGGAGGATGCCTTGGTACGCCTTGTCTCACACCTTCCTCCAAAACGCCAGCTGAGCTAACCTATAATGGAAACTTTTACTAGCGCTTCCTATAGGGATCTAGCACGTGGTGAGGTTGCTGAATAATGTCGCGGATTCAACTGAACGAGTACAGAGGGTAGGTATGGTGGATCGAGGCCCGCCCGCTGGGTGCCTGATCTGCCATATTGGAGGGTGTCTCGCGCTCTCGGCGTTCATCCAAACTCCGCGAAAAGACATCGCAATGATGACTGAAACGCGTTTCACTGAAAAGTGCGGTGCATGAGGGATAGAGTCAGGAGTCGGTTGTTGTGAAGTGTTGGGGACGCAGAGGCTAGAAGCGCGGACCGACAGCTTCGGCGGTGGCTTCGCTGGGGTCCACCGCTTATCTGCCGCCCGCGCTCCCCACTCGTCATTGCCCTGCAGAACTCAATCACTCACGACATGACTTTCTTTCACATGATCTCTAACGACCCAGACATTTGACGAGAATTGTCGCGAGCGAATCCAGATGAGGTAAGTCTTCAGAAGTACTCTGCCCGTCGCATCGGGCAGTCGAACCCCCGCGCAGGCGCCGTAACCGGACGTACCGGCGCAATTCCGTAACTCCAGCGCCATATCCCGCCAATCTTACATGCACCGATGCGCAGGCAACATCACACGTCCAAGAAATGAAGATCCGCTGTGATATACGTCTACTGTTGACCCAAGTCTCGACTCGAGGGTGACATTTATGATACAGAATTCGTGAAAGTAAGGGTATTCCCGCACGCGTAGAGGCTGAAGTGCGGCCTTTTTTAGCAACATAAGATATGCGATTTACTAAAGGAGTGTAGTGTTTGAAACCAGTAAAGATGAGCTATCTAACGCACGTGAAAGCAAAAACCAATTCTTCAAGACATGAAAGGCTTCACCAGCTCCAAAGACTTCTCCCACAAGGCCTTCTCCTTCTCTTCATCGTACGCATGAGGCGCATAACCGGGCTCATTCGACGCAGGATTGGCGTTAACTACACTAGAAATCTGGCAATCCTCAAGGTACTTCCCGCTTTGACCTTCCAGAGCCTTTGCAGTAGCTGCCCAGACTGTGGTTGCAGCACCTTGCTGCGGGCTCTTGAGCGCTTTGCCAATGTTAGGGTCCTTATCCCATGCCTCCATCGTATCCTTATCGATGTGCGTCATGAGACCAGTGAAGATCAGACCAGGATGAACCGACCATGCGTTTACACCTTGGCTTGCGTATCGACGGTTGAGTTCAGTCGCACAGTAGATGTTGGATGTCTTGCTCTGGCCGTAGGCTGACCAAGGGTGGTACTCTCCCACGAGGTTGAGATTATCCAGATGGATGCCGCCCATGCGATGGCCGGTGGACGCGAGGACGACAACCCTCGACTTGGAGTCTGGCGTGCTCGACTTGACGAGAGTGGGAAGGAGAAGCTGAATCAACAGGAAGTGAGCAAGATGGTTTGTGCCAAACTGGGTTTCAAAGCCGTCTGCTGTGCGTCCCTCTGGGCATGCCATTATACCGGCGTTTGCAATGAGGACGTTGAGACGGTCATGCTGAGCCAGGAATGTGTCGGCACACTTGCGTACGCTGGCCAGAGAGTTGAGGTCGAGCTCTAGGAGGTGGACACGCTCGCTTTCCACCAGGCTTCCAAGTGCGGTCTTTGCTTTGTTGAGGTCGCGGGCTGTGAGAAAGAGGGTAGCACCGGTCTCGTACAAGGATTTGGCGGTCTCAATACCGAGCCCGGAGGAGCAACCGGTGATCAGAACTGTCTTATCCGACCATTTGCCTTGGAGTTCTTCGTCCTTGACGATCTGGTCGGCAGTAGGGCGTTGATCACCAGGGCCGTCAGGCGATTGATGAGCGGAGACATATCGGGTAGTCATGTTGACGGTGATTGTTTGAGGGTTGGTAGTGGTTGGAATGCTTTACATCTGGAGGCAGAAGGTGTAGTGCTTGATGGGAATCATCTTGGAGGAGCTGCTGAACTTATATACCTCCTGGCCATCGCTACTCGGTGCGCTCGTTGTCCATTCACCGCAAGTCCTAACTCCTCTTCCTAGACACTACCCTAGATCTAACTAAATTACGGATATCGTAAGGAGCTTGGAAACACTACTCCTTGAGTCTCACACTGTGTGTAGTTTGTAAGAAGCCCTACCTGCTAGTATCACCGCTCTTCCTCATGCATAAATGTTTAGTACTTAACCTAGTCTCATTGAGGAAACTTCTTTCGCCTTGGCGTGTTGGAGACACCGCGCTATGCTAGCTGACGCATCTAGACGTGCGGAGTGGGAAGCAAACAGTCGGCCCTATTTCTCATAAGCAACGTATCTTAGCCTTGGCGAGGGAACATTCCTTATTTGGTTGTTACCCTACCCACTCTTAGATCTCAAACATTCTCATCATCGTATCTTCTGGTGAAAGCCTTTTAGCGTACCTTGCATAGTCCAATTACAACATCGCTTTATGCTAGGATAGGCCGACAATGAGGGCTAAAAGAAAGGATGTATGCCAGAATTGCAGATCTCGGAAGCTTGCTGTAAGTTCCCGCCACCAACAACTAATAGGTACCTTGCATGCTGGCGTACTGACCCTTGAAATTTATAAGTGCGATGGGAAACAGCCACAATGCCTCCAATGTATCCGCCGGCGGATCCCGTGTAGTGGTTACGAACAGGAAATTGTTTTCATCAATGCAATGACACATCCAACCAAACCCCAGACGGTTATGAAGGCCGGATGTGAAGAAACACACGTTGACGACAGAGGAGTGTTCGGTGCCTACATACTAAAAAGCAGTCACCCAGCTTTGTGTGCATTATCAAACTTGTTTGACGAAACGATCACTCCTCCCGAAGCAAGCCCAAACGAGCTCGAAGATGATGTGGATTTTATTGTCCAACATTTCGCGCCCATATGTAGCCAGGCGCCTGCGGAGTTTAACTTGTATCACAACCAGATATGTGGTGCCTGGGTCGAGATGCTTCCGCTTGTCGTTGAGCCTGCAAAGAACAGCCCATTCCTCTATTCCGCAATCAGGACAATGGCAACAGCCTTGAGGAACCGTGCATCCGCAACCAGAGGAAACGAATCTCACATACTTCTGATGTACGGTGAATCTCTTCGCCGGGTGGGCAAAGCGCTCGAAGAAGCCAAGGGTGTCTTCCAGCATGAACATTGTGTCGCGATATTATGCCTATCAGCAACGAATGTAAGTCTCCACCATACGCTGACCTTTGCATTTCACAGTATTGACTAGACTAGATTGTGGTACCGCAAGCAAGATCTGATTGGGCGACGCATGCAAAGGGTGTCGGAGCCATGATCGAACGGCTCGGGCCGAAGCCGTTTAGCACTGGTATCCTGCACACGCTCTTCGTTGGCTTCCGGCCTCTTCTGGTAGGTCATCGCCATTTCCCGTCGCAAGAGCAGTTAATTGATCAAACCTTGAAACCTTTTAGCTGATCAGTTCAATCCACCAACGACGAAAGACATTTCTTGCTCAAGACGACTGGGTTACCACACCCTTCGAAACAGTACCCATATCGATCATGCAACAGCTCCTTAACAAAGCTACCCAACTTCCCGCTCTTCTAGAAAGATTCGACAGTCTGGAAGACCGCTCCAGCCCATCCAATGTGGTCGCGATGCAACGACTACGTGATGACTTCTTGTATATGATCAAAAGCCTCAAAGATTGGGAGCTCTCATCCAAAACGCAGGCCAAATTCTCTCTGGTCTGGCCTAAACCCAATTCCCCTGACGCAGAGTCCTCAGATAGGAAGCCGCTGTGGTTCGCCAATGTTCTGGTTGCTAGCAGCCTGACTCATTGTTGGGCTTTCGAGATCGTCGCAAGACAACATGTGGATGGCATAGAAGAGTCGATAGCCGAGATCAAAGGTTGCAACGTCAAAGCGGTTCCTCGGCGCTCCGACTCTGCAAGCGATAAAGACGAAAATCAGGTCTCGATTCTGGCGGAGAAGATCTGCGATAGCATGCCCTACTTCCTGCAACCGGAATTGAAGCTATATGGACCCGCCTCTACCTTTTTCACGTTCTTGACAGCCATGAAGGTCTTCAAACACAAGAAGACTTACTGCGCGTCTCGACTCTCCCGCTGCCAACAGGTAATCGATCGTTTAGCTAGAACTGGCATCCACTTTCCGTCACCATAGGGCATTGTATCCGTCGATAACCGCCTGGAGGCTGACTGAACCAAGGTGGACATTTGTTGAGAGTAATAATTGGGATGTCGGAGAAGAGATGACCCGGCAAAGAAACGAGCGTCATGACGTCACGTCCAAATTGCTTACCCGATGGCACGTACCTCACCGCAGCTGCCCTACTCTTGAACGAGTCCATCATCCATCATTTAAATTCTGTCTTCTGATTCATCGAGCTTTTGCAGCATTTCTGGCACGCTGTCATATGTCTCAAGATTGGTACCATCCACAACAGCAATAACGAATACTTTGCAAACCCACTCAACATGTCCACACAACTCAAGCTCCTCGCCAACTACGGCGTAACAGGCTTCCTATTATCTACTGGTCTCTTCGCTCTGCTCGCACCTACCACATTCGCTGCCGGTTTTGGCATGCCCGTTCCAGCCGACTCATTCGCATCCGGTTTCGTTCAATGCGTGGGTGGTCGCAACCTCACTTTTGGTATCATCGCAGCAATCTTCTTGCAGCGAGGAGACGTGAGAGCTGTCTCACTGATGGCGACGATGTTGGCGGTGGATGGAGTCGTGGATGGGTTGGTCACGATGAAGCATGCCGGGATGGGGTTTGCGTTGCCGCATTTCGGGGCGGCGGCGATCATCCCGTTCATAAGTTCATGGATGGCTAGTTGAGGGTTTGAGATGAGACGGGACGAGAATGAAAGCGAATCGGGTTTGACAGGGCGGCAAGATACAGAAAGAATAACACGCGAAGGGTAACAGTCCACGTCGCACTCATGGTATACGTGTTTGTCGCGTCTTAGAACTTCAGTTATATTTGAACATGTTGGGTCTGCTGTACTCGCGATGTAAAGACGGTGAAGGCCCCGTATCGTCTCCAAGACTTTTCGAACATCGTATGGAACGGTCGGAATCTCATACTTTAGACACGTTCATCTTCTCTTCCCGGCGAAACGATCTCACCCGCTGTCCCAAATCCATATCGTTTGCCTTTTCTCCCCAGTTCGTCTTCATAGACCAGCTCTCCATATCTGATCTTTGAGCTTTTCAGCTCATCTGACATATCGTCGATCGTAGCTACGCCTTCTTCGAGCATGATTCGACTCATCTCCGTGTTTCCCACGGTCGCTAACATGATTTGAAGGAAGCCGCCATCGGCTGCAGGCGCGCGATTTTGCCACAAGGACCAGATCGAGATGATGACGAAGATGCTTGCTGCGGCTAGGCAGATACTGTATGGAAGGATGAGGTTGAGCGGATGACTAAGTGTGTATGTGTTGCTGTATCTTGTGCTTGTTACAGGCACCATGTCCCACCAGGTGCCGAGTGATATAGCAGACATGGTGATATTGGCTAGAACCCCATTAAGCATGTTCTCGGCGAGATTGAACGCGTGTCTTGGGTCGAGTCCTTCGTGTTCGTTGTATCGAGACTTGTGGAAAACGGAACCTCTCAAGTAGGCTTCATTCCGGTTAACCTTTGAATTCGTACAAGCTAGTCACTACACTTACGATCGCCCCTATAACTGAGGTAGCCCGGCCAGCTCTCACGTACAAGATCGTCTGTAGAATTCGGTGACTCCTCTATCTGCTGACACTTGCCATCTAAAACCATAGGTTGCTGCAGAGGCAAAAGCTCTGGTGGCGATAATGCATCTGAGGGCAGATACTGCGAATGGAAATATTCCTTATCAAGAAAGGGCATCAATGAGTCTAGAATTGCCCACTCATTAGAAATGGGGATGGCTTCTGATACTCTCTGGTGCCATTCTTCAATTGCTTCTGGTATCGATGGAAGCCTAAGTTGTATTCCATACAATTTGCCCGGATTAAGATTCGGATCATCGTAGGCGCCCAAAATATCGATTGTATCGTATATGTCGACTCTTCGTGGAAGTGTTCTTGCATCGCTGATGGAATAGTCTACTGTCTGGACGCCTCTGGGAAACGTGACGCTGACGTTGTAGAGTACGGAGACAGATTCGCAGACCTGCTCGTTCGCCACAGCATGTGCGTTCCAGACTAGGCTATTATTGAACCTACAGTGGGCATTAAACGTTTTGATATCATATTGTGTCAACGAATGGATAAGCTTTTGATCGTCCCATGACGATACCCACATGGGTACCACAAATTCCTTCGGATCGTATTCAGCCGAAAGAGTAATGTTGTACTCTGACGTGGTGCATTTGAATTGAGGTCCTCTGAATTGCAAATTGTACGTGGAATTCTCTCCTGGGTGATTTGGGAAGGTAGATATCTGGTTGTTGTTCTTTATAGTCTGTGCGAGGTATACCAGGCGGTTTGAAGGTCCACTATAAATTCAGCCTTTGTTAGATTACTGGAGTACTCAACTGACCTATATATGAATTGCCGAATGCCGGCATCCAAAGGGATCTGTGATAAACTCTTGTCGATGTATATAAATTTTCGAACTTCTGGATCTAGTGGGAAGTTTGAGAAGACTTTGTCAGGCCCGTGTAGTGGGTCTCCTCTGCTTAAAGTAGGGAAGCTTTCGTCTCCGGAAAAGTCGAGTTGCGGTGAAATGGGTGGGTTCATTATAGACATGTTGTGATGCTCCGTAAACTCTTGAGTCCTGACGCTTACGGTGAGCGCACCCGGTGGATAAATGACCGCGATCCCAAGAGACCAGATCAGAAGCGCCATAAGGAACAGCAAAGGCGCTCTCCGTATCCCTTGTGGACTGAGCAATGCGAATAAGTCGTTTCGAATTACGAACAGCATCTCGACCATCGAAAGAGACATCGCCTTTCCACGCAAAATGTACCAGAGGTGTTGTGCGAAACACGTACCCATGCTGGCTGTTAGTGCAGCTTTGAAGATTGTGCTTAACAATATAGAGACAGCCGAGAACTGGGTCTGGGTGAGGAAGCTAGTCTTGAGAGGCGTTCCATTTAGACCCTTGACTAGCATATAGTGTCCTAACGCGGCGAAGAGTGCTTGAGGAGATTAACTAAGACTTCGGTACATGCAATTGACGAGACTGACCTATGAGAAAGAATCCAGTGATCGCTCCCACCGTCTTCCAAAACGCGGAACGCCGGATAAATTCTTTCGACGAACAACAATGGACACGATTCGCTTCTTGGAAGATGCTTGATGAATTGAACGGCGTCGTAGGATTGGGGTTCGTACTCTTCATCTGCTGTCCCAGCTGGATTGCAGATACGCTGACAAGAGTTGAAGAGCTACTTCTGTTACTTGTAATTGTTTGCAAGTCGTGGTCTATAGACCTCAAGTTGGAGAAGTACGCTGCATGGTTGATTTTTGTTTGTAGTGAACTAGGACCGTTACCCATGGTTATTGCTGGAGTAAGCTCTCCTGTAGTCTCGGGTGAATAGTTGAGAGCACCGAGAAGGAGACAGTTTATAGGAAGCAGTTTAACCTACGGCGTGGTTATGGTCCCCGATTCAGGAGCAGGACTCAGGCTTAGACCTTCCAATATCATTGGCCAATTGCTGCCTGCATAGATCCGCAAGGTAGATGCTAAATACATAACGATCCTCCAGCATTCTGGATGTCGATGTTGGCTCTATACCAAACTAGTAGGGGCTAGCTAGCATGTAGGAGCAGGAGAGCTCGGAAATGGCGTTGCAGGAACCTCCCACTGGGTGGCGCTGACCTGGGGGCCGTAAGCTGACATCCAAATACATCCCCTCTGGGTACCTAGCCCGTGCGAGGCTGACGCGACTGCGCAACACCAACCCCGAGTATGCTACTGAAAAAAACGAATCTATGCTCTGATTCATGACTCGCGCTGCATAGATCATGATTGTGGTAGGCCTGCACTGCCCACTGTGCGGTTCGTCTTTCCAACATATGCTCCACATAACTCACGTCGATTGTAGCAATAAAAGCCCTGCTCGATAACGTCTACTACAGCTTCGTACCTCAACATGGCTACCAATACCCTGGACAACTCCTTGAACAGGAACGGGCTGAACAACGACCGCGGTACCACCGCCCCCCATGACGCGTTTATTCGTTTACGCTGGTCTATCTTCGAGGATGTATCCACTATCCTCGTCCTTGATGATCCCAGATCTCAAAATCCTTCCTTCTCGCCTTTTGTGGGTCACGCAATCGCAGCAGAACCAGCCTCCCAGATCCCTCTTACCGAGATTGCAATCACCAACTCGTATATAGACTGGTATGACCATTACGACTACGAGTCACCGGAGCCCTTGCTTGTTAGCAGAGCGGACGGTGGTACCGTTACCGTTGCAGATGTTGTTGAGGAGCTCTCGGCCTACTTCACGAGTCACAGGGAGGACATATTTATGGTCTTGGAACTCTACTTGAAAAAGAGGCCATGCCGCTTCGTAGTGGACGGCAATGTCGAATATGACCCTACCATCCTCGCAAGTGGCGAGGAAATCTCCCCTGACACGAAAGTCCTTTTCAACGGATTTTTTTGGTATCGTAGAGCCCGACGTGGAGCTTGGAGTAGAATTGTGTGCTGAACAAGATCTTCCAGAGAGACTGCGGTGTTAGATACTCTAAAGACACAACTTCAAACCGCTTCAGGGTATCCTCGCTACATCTGTCTAGTGTCTCACCTAGTGAGTAAAAGGCAAGGTGGGGTACCTAGGTAGCGATCGCAAACCACAGATTGCGCGTTTGGGAGTTGTGCTTCCGTCTCTCGCCAGTATGTTGATCAAGCCACTCTGTACCAAGAAGATCATGACGGGTCATAAAGGAGTGAGGATGGGACTAAGATACTGCTCGCTTGGAAACCCTTTCAGAGGGGCTGAAAAGTCGCTAGTAGAAGCAAACAAGTATTGGAGTATAAGAGTGATGGATTGAATGCTATGGAGGATATGGCTATATACGCAGTACGCCAACAGCTATGGAAGGTACCAATAACAACACATGACGTGGTTTCTTCTCATCAACAAGTAGATGGCTTTGGGTTGAGAATGAACATCTCGTGCGAGATGTAGAGCACGCATACATTTAGAAACGACCAACAGTCATTGATGTAACATTGACTAGTGCAGTCATCTCGTCCCTGTATTCTTTTTTTCTTCTGTACTCCTGGTAGCGTTCATATCTGTGTGTTGAGATGATTCATACCACGAACTTTGTCAACGATGCTGCGTCCTCTATAGTCATTACGCGTGTGACACGCCGTTGACAAGCCCTTAATAGCAAGCATGGGTCAGCTCCAGGTCGTCCAAGGCCTTGATTCACCAAGTCATCGACACCATGAGTGTTTTCCAGTCCACTGACTCGATCGGACTTTGAAAGGATGACTTCTGTACCTTCAACTCGTTAAGAACAGACTCTATCGGGGTCTATCGCTTCTAATAATTATTCAATGGCTCATATTCAGTAAGTCACAGCCATGACTGTCCCCCTAACAAGTGGGTATAAAGAGCTTCTTGAAGAAAGACCTCGGAGAACAGAAGGCACAACAGCACACTTGCCATTCCCAGCTTTAGGAACGATACAACGAGGAAGCCCTGAGATCTTACGTTACCTTGGAAGCCAAACTTCCTACTACGAATGCCTCCCAGCAGTCCGCCCGGGAAACTGCCCAGTGAACCAACACCATGCCAGACGATAATACGCTCGTCCAAGGCCTAGGCAGTCGCTATTATTGCATTCTTGAGTATTTCTCCGGAATTTCTCATGCTACCACACGCCACAAGAACGAGATCTGTCAATGTTGCAAAGAGATCAATCCCCATAGCCTAGAATCATTGTTGCACACCACACGACGCCCAGTTGGGGCAACAGACTTGGAGATATGCCAGCGCGCTGTTCGAACAAATTCAGAAGCACATAATTCAGAAGCGCAAACCAACCCTACCACCACGTGCGCGTCTCGAACGTCGTGGTTCCCCGACGTCAACTTCGGTGAAGCTCAGAAGAGTCTCAGCGAAGAATTGATCAAAGCGAAGCCATATACAAACATGATGTCAACCGATCCAGATGCTACACGATACTTCGAATACACCCCGTGTGACTCCCTCTATCGCGGTAGACCTGGGGAGATATGTAACAGATGTGCCTTGGCGAGAGCAGCATGGATGTCCAGGTTGAACGACAGGGAAATGAATACCATTTTCGAGCAGCCCATGGGTAGGATTCTCACGGAAGATGCTAGAACGATGGCGGGTGGATAGATTCAAGGTTTCGATAAGGTTTGTGATGGTCTTGACAATTCGGGAAGTGGACAGTCGAAGCTGGTGCATGGGTAGAACGACGGTGTTTCCTGTTATATGTCACCTAGCCACATCTGTGCATAGCACGCCACTTTCATTGCGACGATCTTCTGAGAGACAGTGATACAATGGACAGGGCAGAATGCGGTCTTTTCCTACAACATATATTAGTATAGACACATCCGTGCAGGGCACGGTACCAATATCAACACCAACAATCACTTACTTGCTGAAGAGTCATACCTTACATGACTACAATATCTCCACTACGACCTCACAATCAGCAACATATCACAGTACTCACAACACAAACGTAACGAAAGATCGCGACGTCTCGATTCATCATCCCAACCCACGCTGAAAATGCTCTCGATAACTCTTCTCTCAAGGAGAAAAAAAAACAAAGCCAAAACAGTCTATAAGCAAATAACGCATCATAATCCCCCCCCTCTCTCCCCGCGGACTTTTTTTTTTAAAACCCAACCGCAAGCATCAACCCATACCCCACCGTAACAATAACCCCAAACGTCATAATACTCGCGGGCACACCCCTGGTCAAAAAATGCTTAACAGCAAGATACCTCTGGCCCGTCCTCTGATCCTCCATCATAATGGCCGTCATATTCGGGAACCCGCTCGTCGGCAAGCCCATAGCCCCACTCGCCATCAACACAGCGCCCATGACGAGTAAATTCGGATGCGGCTCCGGCATCTGCTGCCCCACCTGCTGCACAAGGGGCAGCACAATGAGCGCAGCAACGGTATGCGAGATAAACGTCGCCACGACGAGAATCAAGGCACAAAATGTGACGAGGACGCCGTACAGACTCATTCCCTCTACTCCAGCGGTAATGGAGAGGGCAATGGTGTGTAAGAGACCGGAGCTATTGACTGCTTTGCCGAGCGAAAGGCCGCCGGCAGCGAGTATGATGATGGTCCAGAGGAAGTTGTTGAAGTCTTCCTTAGTGAGGATACCCGTGCCGAAGAAGAGAACAATGGGGATGATGGCTACGACGCCCATGTCACCAAACGTAGCTTCAAGCTGGTGGCTGACGCACCACAAGACAATGGTGACGACGGTGACAATGGTAATGAACCACTGCACGCCCGTAAACTTGTCCTTGAGCGGCCGGATAGGAACAATGGACGGCCCTTTTCCGGGTTGGAAAGTAGCCAGGAGGAAGACCCAGATGAGCAGGATGGAAATGATACACACGGGCAAGGCGACGAAGAACCATACGCCCCAGGAAGGCTCCGGGTGCATGTTTTGCAGTGCGATTAGGTTCTGGGGGGACGCAATGGGGGAAGCGGCACCGCCTATGTTGGAGGAGAGGGCGATGCCCATGAGGAGGGCCTTGGTCATGTCGGAGTCGGCAGGCAAATTACGAAGGATGGGCTGACGAAAAATTAGCTTGACTTGAACGTTTTCTGCGACGAGTTGACATACCTGGATGATGGAGAAGCAAAGCACAGGCGCTGCGACATTGCTAATCCACATACTAGCAAACATGGCCACAAACATGTTGACCAGCAGCACAGTCCTTGGCTTGGTTCCAGCCTTGCTAAGAACGAGTGTAGCCATCATCTTAGCAATATTGTACTTTGACAGCGCAGCCGCGATGGTGAAACCACCCAACAGCAACATGATGACAGGCGTCCACATGGCAGAGAAGACGTATGACGCTGCGGCCTTTGATTCCAGACGCTTGTGAGGTTCGACATCGCTTCGGACGACATTCAACGTCACAGCAAGGAAAGGAACCAGCAGGGACGTGACGAAGAGCGGTATAGCCTGTCGTAATTAGCCAAACGATCAACATCAACCAATATGATCCGTACCTCTGTGGCCCACAGCAAACTGACAAAGATGACCATGGCAAGACAATTCTGCTGCTCAGGCGCCTCCATAATGGGCACAACAAGCAACACAACAAACACGGCAATACAACTCAGCAGGATCCAAAACGTCCTGCTGAGCAGCCACTGCGGACACCGGTATCGCCCAATCGGCGTATCCACCTCCTTCATATCCGACTCGACGTCGTCGCCCTGCCGCCGTATCTTACCACCCGTGGTATCGCGTCCAAGCAGTGTATGGCTGATACCGATATTCGCCGCTTGCGCTTTCCGCTCGATTCCAATCATCTCTCGCCAAACCGTGTTCCGCTCCCAGACGACGTGTTCGCGCAGGTGTAATCTCAATTCGCGCTTCGCCTCGGCAATGTCGCCCTTTGTGCCGATTTGCGCGTAGGCGGATTCCACACGCTCGAGATTGCGCGTCAGCTCGTCCATGGTGCTCTGCTGGAAGGGATAGGCGGGGTAAACGTATTTGCTCAGATAAGTCTTTTTGAGCTTGCGGTCCATGATCTTGTCGTACTTTTTCAGCACTTTTTCGAATCCCGTCTTGTTGAGCTGGATGAAGGAGCGGAGCTCGCAGAGTAGGACGTATACGCTAACGAGGCGTTTCTTCAACGACACGCCTTCTTCGTACAGCGCGGAGAAGGCCATGTCGTTGTAGTCTTCGAATGCGACGCTTGTTTTCCGTCGCGAGGAGGCGTGCGAGGCTGCCATGTCTTCGTCGATTGTCCGTCTTCGTCGCCGCTGGCCGTCTGGGCTCTTCTTACGAAGCCGTGCAGTCTCGTCGGCGTCTTCGTCCTCAGAGTCGTCGCCAGATGCGTCGCCGTCTGCGCCGTGATCTGTTGACCGTCCGCTTGCCCCGCTCATGGCCCGCGGCCGGTGAAAGCCAATCGCCTTGAACACACTCCCGCTGCGCATCTTCTTGCCCGGCGGCGCATTCTCATTCTCCTCGTTGTACTCCTCCTGGTGGTACTCGAATGACTCCTCGTCCTTGAGCAGGGCCTCCATCTCCTCGAAGATTTCATTTTCCTTGAGCTTGTAGAAGGACGTGACGCGCTCTAGTTCGGTGTCGAGGGTATTGGTAAAGACCTTGTCTGGATCGTCGGCATCGCCGTTGAGGAGTGGTGAGGATTCGGCGTCGGTGTGCGCCTGCTTCTGGTTGAGCTGTGTCTCAAGGCTGTAGATGTGCTTCTTGAGATTGCTATAGGCGATGTAGTGGTTGCTCCAGTCGGGCACAGCATTAAACTGCAGACTGTGCGAGAACTTCATCTCTTCGGCCTCGCGAAGCTGCTCGAGCTTCTCCTGTCGCTTCTGTTCTCTCTTGCGCTCCCTGTGCGGCTGTTTCGAGCGTGTGTCGAATTCCTGGAGCTCTATAGCTTGGGTAGGCGCAGCGTCACGGTAAGGCGTCAGGACGTCCAGGTTGGTGGATCGCAGTCTTCCAACGAGAAGACGCTACTGTAGGCAGACTAGAGGGCGTAGCGTAGTGCTCGCAGGACGGTCAGGTGGCTTGCAGCACGTGGAAACTGCGGCATGGAGTGATTCTATCGACAAGTGTGGGATTGGCGCGGAACCTTTCTCGGCTTGGTAGCGTAGCTGGACATTGTGGATGCGCTTTCGTCACTGCACTCCCGAGCACAGTCGGAGACACATGGGCCGATGATTGGCGCTCCAGCCCTCCGCCGCAACCACACCTCGCCCACGCTTCACCCCTCTCTCGGGTTGTGCAACGGGCAGTGTCTTAGTTGCCCATCACACGACTACCCCACGTACATCCAGAATTAGCTTTGATATCCTCTGCTGAGCCATGTCTTCACGCCGTCGCCATGGCCCGCTCCTCGCCGCGGCTAGTCATTGCCTGCATTCGGATCCTTGCCAAAACCACCCGACCTGCATCATCGTCGCGGATATCTGGCCTGCATTTTGCCTGCGCCAATCAGATATCACGACGTGTGATATCATACATGAGAAAGAATCGTCTGTTGAGCCTCACTTTTCACAAACACCATGTAGTCAATTTTCATGGCCAATTTTGTTTGAATGTTTCGCATTGACAGTCGACCTATATACACCTATAATCATGACCTCGTACAGACAACGTCGTCGTTTAGACTGTAGTTTGTTAGCAGTATTCATAGTAGTGAATAATCAACATCACTTACACCTCAGATCCCAGCCGATCTTGGGTCCCAGCTTGGGCAGCTCCTCAGCAACACTCTGCACGTCCTTGTCACCACGTCCAGACACGCAAATGACAATGTCTTGGTCCTTGTTCATCGTCTTTGCCAGCTCAATAGCACCAAACACGGCGTGCGATGTCTCCAGCGCGGGGATAATACCCTCAAGCTGTGATAAGAGACGGAAGCCGATAAAGGCCTCGGCATCTGTACAAGCAATGAACTTGGCACGGTCGCTGTCCTTCCAGCTGGCAAGCTCAGGTCCTACACCAGGGTAGTCAAGACCAGCAGAGACGGAGTGAGTCTCGCTAATCTGTCCGTGCTTGTTCTGGATAACGTAAGTACGGACTCCGTGGAGCACACCCTTGCTTCCGGCTGAGAGAGTCGCGCTGTGGCGGTCGGTGTCGACACCATCACCACCAGCTTCGACACCGAGAAGTTTGACAGAGAGGTCCTTGGAGAAGGGGTAGAACATTCCTGCGGCGTTGCTGCCACCACCAACACAGGCGACTACGGCATCGGGAAGCTTGCCGCGCTTCGCTTGCATCTGCTCCTTGGTCTCGTTTCCGATAATGGACTGGAAAGTGCGGACAATGGTGGGGAAAGGATGAGGGCCGATGGCAGATCCGATAATGTAGTGAGTCGTGTCGAGGTGGACGACCCAGGCGCGCATTGCCTCGTTGACTGCATCACGCAGGGTTTGAGCACCAGCCTCGACAGCAACAACCTGCGCACCAAGCAACTTGATGCGGAACACATTCAAGGCTTGGCGCCTGACATCCTCAGCTCCCATGTAGATGGTGCACTTCATGTTGAACTTGGCGCATACCGTGGCCGTTGCAACACCGTGCTGACCAGCTCCAGTCTCGGCAATGATCTCAGTCTTTCCAAGTCTCCTGGCAATGAGCACCTGTCCGAGTGCGTTGTTGATCTTGTGACTTCCAGTGTGATTCAAGTCCTCTCGCTTCAACCAGATGTTGGCGCCTCCGGCGTGCTCGGTAAGGCGCTCCGCAAGATGCAGATGACCTGGTCTACCCATCCAGTCGTAGTAAGAACGGTATTCTTCCCAGAATTTGGGATCTTCGATGGCTGCATTGAAACCTTCCTCGAGCTCAGAGAGACAGTCCATAAGCGATTCAGGAACGTATTGGCCACCGAATTCGCCGAATCGTGCGGGGAACTTGTGCTTCTCGTCAAATCCATTCTGCTCGTGTGTACCGTTGGTGCCGTTAGCATCATCAGTGTTGAGCATCTCCAGCTGGTCAGCCAGGCCAGGACCGTCCGGTGTGTCCTTGTCGGTAATAACCTTGTCGACATGCACGTTGGTGGGCTCCTTGGCCTCGTTCAATGTCTCGATGATACCGACCTCGCGAGGCGCACCGCGGGTGCTCTTGCCGCAGATCTCGTCGCAGTACTTCTCGACTGCCTTTGCGCCCGTTCCTGGTTCAGCCTTGAGCAATGTGTTGATAATCTGGCTACCGATGACGACACCCTCAGCAATCTTGCCTACACTCAGGTAGTGATCGCGTGTGCTGACACCAAAACCGACGGCAGCCGGGACGTTGCCAGAGTATTTGTGGACGCGCTCGAGCAGCTGGGGAAGAGCAGCGTTCATGGTACCGGAGGCGCCAGTGACGCCCATGCGAGACACGACGTAGATGAAGGAATCGGCGATCTTGCAGAGGACGCGCATGCGGTGCTCGGACGTAGCGGGTGCAATAAGAGGAACGTAGGAGAGACTGTCTTGTTAGTCTTCGTCCCATGCTCGTCGAGACAGTAGGCTTACCCGTAGCTGCGGCAGAAATTCCTGAAGCGCAGAGCCTCCTCGGGTGGCAGGTCGACCATGATGAAGCCGTTGGCTCCGGCCTCCTTTGCGTCCTGCAGCATCTTCTCCTCGCCGTAGCTGAGCAGAGGGTTGTAGTATCCCATAAGAAGGACGGGTGCCTTGAGACCCCGCTTCCTCGCATCGCGGATCATCTGGAGAACGCTGCCAATGTTGACGCCGTTCTTGAGGGCTTGCTATAGACACATGGTGTCAGGAACAGTTTCGAACGCATTGTGGCGAATGGGTCAACGTACTGTGTTCGCGGTCTGGATTGCTGGGCCGTCTGCAATGGGGTCGGTGAAGGGCATGCCGAGTTCAATGATATCTAGACGTGTCAATTGACTGCTGTCGTGCCATCTGGCATAGCAATTGCTCGCTGCACATACCAGCGCCTCCCGCCTCCATGGCCATCATGATGTCTGGCGTCTCCTCTGCGGTAGGGAAACCCGCAGTCACATAGGTGACGAGAGCAGACTGCACACATATTAGCTCTACATCTCTCTTCTAGTGGTTGCACATCGTACCCTGCCCTCCTTCTTGCATTGCGCAAACGTCTTCTTGATGCCGTCCATGATGCCGAAAACCGAATCGAAAGGTTGGAGTGTGTGACAAGAGGTCAAAGCCAGCAACTGACTTCCTTATAGATGAGAGCAACTGTGAGTCACGGTATGCACAGTCGTAGGGGCTCGCGGAGAAATCGGGGTTTGGTATGAGTCTTGTGTCCGCAATTTATTGAAGGCCGAAGGCGGCGTAATGCCCCTCCTCCGGCTTAGTCGCTCGTTCGGGAAATGCGGGCGAACATCACTTCTTCTAGAAGCCAGTCTTACTAGACTCCACCTTATTTTCTTCTCATACACGTCATCGCGACCCCAATCCGATCGTCAGACCGTTGAACTCCATTTTATTGACCTTTTTGAACTTCTAATAAGACACAGTCCAGTGCACATGGCAGCATAGCAGGGCAGCTACACCTGGCCCCACTGACATTAGCCAATATCCACCGGCCTATTTCCAAAGGCCTCAGTTTCCCCAGCACCAGCTTCTTTAACCGTACCCCGTCGTCGTTGAAACACCATGAAAACAAATCTGCGCCCATGACCGACCTGCAGCGATCGCACACAGTATCCGTCTTCTCCGTCTCCTCATGCCAAATTGCGTCAGGCGTTTTGGGAGATACATGACAGGAAAATTCTTTCTGCGCCGTCGCGCTGTTGGATTCTAAAATCAGATGCTCATGATCAATATGTTACAGGCACTTATATCAATCGAGATCTTAGAAAGGAACTTCGCAGTCCAGGACAAACTACCAAGTTCCTTTCACGAATCGATATGGGTGCTTTTTTCACTCCCCTGTGTGGTTGTCACCCATTGCATCCACTTCACCCTATGGTACTGCGATGATGCAGAAGCGACGAGCCACTTATGAAATCCGTAACACGTACCTATACGTACGCAAAGACGCTCTTGAATGAGCGATATCGCGGACATAAGAAGCTTATTCACTCCTCCAGGCTTTTCGACAGGATTGCTCGCAGTGCTGCCGTCACTCTCTGATACACCGACCTCGGAACGAACTCACACTCATGCCCCTGCGCATACCAAACCGGTGATGCAAGCCCCATGTCCGCGCCATGATCGAGCAGCAATTGCGCCATTTCGACGAACCGAAGATCCATCGCGAGTTCGATAATTCTTCCGCAAGAGAAGGCGCTCCGCATCCCAGAACGAACGCAGTGGTAACCAAGATTCGGGTTCGCTCCGTGAGTGAATAATATTCGGGCCATTGCGACATCATGATTTAACGCTGCGTACACGAGCGCTGGTGTATACTGTCCTAGTACCAAAGGATCATTAAATGTGTCACCATCGGAGTCGTCGACGTCAGCGGGAATGGGGATATCCCCTTCTTCAAAGTCACAGCGCGTGCCATGTTCGAGCAAGATGTTCGCGGCTGGGATGTTTCGCATCTTGGTCGCTAGGCTGAGTGCACGTATTACGCGCACACGATGTCTACTCTTGACGTCTGCTTTTGACAGAATGAGTATGAGCATGCCGAGGCTCCCGTGGCTGATAACTCATGTGAACATGGTTGAGTGTTGGCTGGTGTGCTGGAAGACGGGTGTGTCGAGATCTATCTTCAATCCGAGGAGGAGTGCAACTCTGTCTTGCTGGTTGGACTGCAACGCAACTTCAAGTGCCGTGCGTAGTTGTACAACTGTGCCGAGATTCATATTCTCGTCCGTGACTATAGGTGTATTGGCATTCTCTTCGATGCTTCCAAACATACTAGCTCCTGTTCTTACATCTATCGCGTTGATTCCAGGCTCGGAAACACCATGTGCACCAAAGCCCAAGACCATTCTAGTGGTGGGAGGTTCCTCAAGTTGTCCAAATCCGACAGTGTGGGGATAATCGACGCCATAAGATCCAAAGGCTCCTGCATAATAGCCAGGTCGGAACGAGGAATCCGTCTTTCGCTCGATTACCTCCTGCCAATCGAGATTCTCGAAAAAGGCATGCTGTCTCACCTCAGAGGCTCCGTTAACATTGGCACCCAATCGTTGATCAGTACCCCGATCAAGTAGACGAGATATAATGTTCTTGGTATTCGCGTGCATTGACCTGGGAAGGTGCAGCGGCTCTGAAATGATGTTGTCGCGGATGTTTCCCAACACGTTACTATAGAACGGTGACAAGCCCGTCAGCATCTCATATAGGACTACACCGAGCGTCCACCAATCAGCGGCCTTGCTGTACTTGTCATCTGTGAGTACCTCTGGTGCAGGATACTCTGGCCTTTTCCAGTCTGCATGCATGCCGTCACGTTGTCGAAAGAGTCCAAAGCCACATAGTGTGATGTGGCCCAACGAGTCAAGCATAATGTTTCCCGCTTTGAACCAACAGCACACGTCCAGAGAATGAAGGTACTCCAAGGCGCAAACGATCTCGGCGGCATAGAGTCTGCTCGTGGCGGCATCAAATTGCCGAACTTTCTGTACATGGTTTAATAGGTGTCCACCGCTAATGAAAGGAGAGTAAAGGTACAGCTTATTGGGAATTTCTTTGGTGAATGCGAGACGGGCGATGAACGGATGGTCAATGTACTTTGCCATGGGGGATAAAACGAAAACTTCCGTTCGTTTGACTCTTCGCATCGCGTAAAGCTATTTGTTGTCCTTCTTCCTGATGAGAAATAAAGGCTTGCCCAAGTTCCGAATGGGATCGCCTTCGAATCTCCCTTGATCTAATTCATGCTCGCGTTGGATCTGTATCATATCTGGATAATGAGTTGTTAGAAAGATCGTGGCGATTGTTGGAGACGAGAGGTAAGAAGGTCTAACGGAGAGGCCACGGTGAGATTTAATTGTCTGACACACTGCCACACTTTAGATAGTGGTCCCCTCGTACAAGTGGCTAATTAGTTTACCCTTCTCGCAACCCGGTTATGTAGAGTGTCTTTCATCTCAAAGCAGACAAAAAGAAGAGTGAAGGATGTCACACGAAACATGGTGTTGAGTTACTGTTTATATCTGTGTAAATATACAGCGGGCTGGCTTTCAGGGTCGTTGCTAACTACCACGGTTCGCGATGGAAACATGACAACCCCTTCGGCAATCTAAATGACATCCGTACGCAAGCCGCCTCGAAATGAGAGCCATCGCAAACACGAAGCGGTTTGTAGCTGTAATTACTGCCTGTTTATCGGGCTGGTAAAAGTCATTGCTACTGATGTCGTTAGCCCTACTAGGGCTATACATGTGGTCCTGTCACCACCAGACACGTCTCCCATCCCATCCCATCCCATCAGCCCTCCAACAGCCCTGCCCTATGCTTACTGGCTGATTTCATAACTGCAAAAAGAACCCTGAATCTCCGAAACAGATCTTCCGATATCGCCACGTCAGTCTCATCCCATATTCGTCAGTTCGGCGACGTCCCAAGCCAACTACTGGGACTCCCCTATGTGAGCGGCATGGAAGTTTCCGGGCGCAGCTCTCTGCTCTGCAATACGTATGCAAGTCTAGAACTTGCCACTAGCCCTTCTTCGAAGAAGTTGTTCTTTCGAACTCTGACCCATCCGGGTAGTTGCACGTTGCCCCCAGAGCGATAAGATGATTAGTCGCTCAACGGGACCTGCTGCGCATCCAGAGCTTCTATTGCTGTTACAACAAGAACCAGGTAGTCCTGTTGAAATGAATGTTGTTGTGCGCCACATATTGCCGTTAGGCCCATTCTGGAAAGTATGCAAGCCACGGATGTGCGTCTAGTCACCAATGCTTTTTGCTCGGCGCTAATCATACATATGAAGTAGGCTTCCCTGCCCAATTTGTTTTTTCTCTTCCTGGCTTCGTCTGCATGCCTTCTGGAGTTGTCGCGGCAGAGATTTCGAGTGCCCATATCTCTAGCTGTCCCTATGACGGGGCAGTGAGCTTGTGGAAAGCTGCTTACGTGTCCAATGAAGCCGCGTGTGCGGAGATGATCGTGGTCTTTCGTAGTCGATGAGCGTATGCGCTGGGTCGGGGACAGGAGCGTAGCCTGGTCGATGGTCTAGGGTTAACGTAGCAGAAGTGACCAATAGATCATGGCATCCAAATCATGCCATTGATGGCGGTGTCTCGATCATACACCGTAGTTGCCACGGAGTATGCCCCACTCCGTATCGAAGTACCGGCCGAACCCACGAATCTCGCACATGCGATTAAAACATCTTTGGCAAAGCTGGTTTTTGAACCTCGTTCTTTCGCAGCGTCCGTCTCTCCTTGGGTCCTTTTCCCAGCTTGGATCGGGCTCGCCATGCTGGTTCTTAGGTCCGATCTTCCAATTGCTGTCAACGGGCCTTCTTAGTCGTAGGTCTTCAAACACGCATGGAAACCCAAATCGGTCGCCGTCAAATTCGACAAGCCATGGGGAGGCCTGCTCTTGTGCTTTGCGGTAGCATCGCACGCATAGCTGGCCACGATGGCGCACAGTACCGCAGAGGCGGGAGTCCTGGGGATTGAAGTCGCAACGCCATGCTGAGAAACGATACTCTGGGTCTTTACAAGCGCAAAGACAGGCCCAGCCTTTTCTGATGCGTTCGGAGCTGTCGCGCTCAAGCTGGTTCATGTACATGTCGATAAGATGCTTGAGCGATCGTGTGTTCGAGTGTGCTTCGGCTTGCTTATACAAGGCATCGAAGCTCATGTTCTTACACCAAGAACATATATCTGGTCCTTGATCTTGTCCTCCCGGACGTGAGCCGCAAGCAGTACCGAACGCGCAGTGAGGCTTTGGAGGTGGTGCTAGCATGATAAGCAGGCTGTATAGCAGTACACTTTATGCGTTAGCGGCGCCGGTACTCTACAGGATTCAACTTACCAGTTCTTTCCCTGGTGCAGCTTCAACTCGTTATTGTGTTGTAGCCTTCCACGTCATCGTCTGACCCCTCACTACCCTCCTCCGAACCTGCCGACCTTATCACCAACTTGTTCGCTTCTTCATGACATAGCCCAGTCGGCGTGAAGTACTGTGCGATTCTGATCTTCCGTAAACGTCTTCTCCAGCACCTGGAACAGGCAGCACCTTTTTTGCGGACAGATGGACAGTCCAGTCGGGTGCCGCGAAGATTCAAGTCGTATAGTCGCCACCTACAGTGTTGAAAATCCGGATCTTCAAAGGCACAGAGATAACGACCGCGAGCTTCGATGTTGCGTTTCAAGACTTGTTTGCGAGTAGCTTCTTCGTCGACAAGCAGTGAGGCAGCAGTGTTTGGGTTAGTCCACACGCGCAGTTGCTGTGGATCGTGTCGTTGAAGACAGTCAGCACAAACCCGGTCTGTATTGTGGATTTTCTTGCCGATGCCGAGACAATGAGATCCAGAGATGCATTCGACGATTGGTGGGGGTTTGAATGGGGACTCGAAAGCTGAAGCCATAGACTGGTACCGAACGTCTAAAAGTCAGGGCTCCCACGTTCACTGCTTTGCGGTTAGCTCAACGTCCTTGCATCTCGGCTCATGTGACAGGGTACTGCCGGTATGAGCTATTATGACGTTGGTATTGACGTTTTCGTTGGTTTCCGAGCATTATGGGGGACGTTGGTTAGTAGGCATTCGAGCTTTGTGAATCGTATTGGCAGGCATGCAGAAAGGACAGTGGATGGAAGTGGGTTTTCGCCATTTCCGGCGGCAGGAGTTACAACCAATGCAATCGAATGCATGCTCTATGACTAGGACGCTATGGCCATACTCGTGGAAGCTTTTTGTGGCGTAGAATGTGTCCGATATGTCGGTTCAACTGTTACTGGACGGTGTGATGCGCTGATCAAGCTCGCTAGGCTACCGGCATGGACATCAACCATGTGCCTGTGGCGATTGGGTACCACTCGTGGCGACGTCAAGTGCATCGTATCAAAAGCTATGGGGCTGCGCTAGACCGCAGCTATGATCACTATGGGGTATGAGACCCGAGAAACTGGTCAGGCCAGAGCGGAAGCTAAGCCACCGGCTGGCGCTCGTAGAATTATGTAGCTGAACCAGATCTTGGATACCGCTCGTCTGGAGGAAATACTGCTGGTCCCATTCGTCATTGCAATGAATCTGTTGCAGTTCTGAACAAGGCTGATGCATCTTTTCAACTTCGGATGCATGAAACTCATCATGATTCGACAGCACGATGATAAAGTTTCGCTTCGAGCATTCCAAACATGAGGAGATCATCGTGCACGGTCACCAGGTCCTTGCTAATGAAGCCCAAGACTCTGACTCGTTCCGGTTCATCCGCCTCTCGATGCAACATGGTTTGCATCGGTTTCGAGACGCAGTCATATCACGACCTCTCTTTCATTGTCGTAGATATGTACCGTGTAACCGTGTACAGAGTACTATTTGAGGAAATAGTGGGACTTGATCGACAATGCATTCGCGACGCCATGTTCCGATCGACAATCCAAAAGACGATATGTATCTGCCGCCAACTCTTTCTCACACAAGAAGGGTTCTTTCGGATGTGAGTCGTTGTGACACAACGGATAAATGCGGTCATCAGAGCTCCTCAAGCATGAGACAAAGGTGGCAGACGACATGTGATCCTTCTTGTTTGGGTCTTGCCAACACGATGACGAATCTTTTTCGGAAGGGGCCCGCGTCTCCGTCTTCGGCTTGCCATATGCTGCCCAAGGTATTGCGCCTCTTTAATGTGCTTCCCCGTGCTGTTGAAATCCACGCAGGACATGGACACGATGCTGTATCGAGCGTTCTATGCATAGAAGACTCTAGATGTGAAAACAGATTTGCTTGCAGGACACGGAGGTGGGATGTGCGATGCGTACGCAACAGTCTCAACTCCGAGTCATCTGGCGTCGACGTCTTGAGTAAAGGGTGATGCATATCAGATTCATACAAGCGCGATTGTCCATTTCTGTCACACTCCCAGCTTTAAAAGGTGTCAGTGGCTTGATCACATATCTTTCGCTTTGCCTGAACAGTCCAGTGCACGGGTAAAACAGCGTGATAACATCGCCCTGGCGTGAGCGTGTTCCTTGACGATTCGTTGTCAACAATGCGGTGAGGCGGTCAACGATAATCATCCTGCATTCCGCCAGAGACTATCGTCGTGTAATATGTTGCATCAAGAAACAGTGGCCAGTCTGCCGATATGCTGCAGTAAGCTGCATCCGTTCAGTGTCCCGTAAAAGTAGTGCCTGTTGACCGCGGAGATCCCCGCCCGTAGTCTCTGTCCAAATTCACTGCTACAAAGCTGTCACAAAGTCAAACGCGTGCAAGTAGAACTGTGGCTTGCGTCGTTTTGCAGGTCGGTTCACGCTGAAGGGTCATGCCAAAGCCGGCTCCAAGCGTGATCGAGCGGGATCCTCATGCAAGCTGTGAGGTATTGTGTTGGAAGGCTGTCGTCGCATAGCGATGAGGCTGGGTTTTGCACGAGCACGGTGGTATGCAGGTCGTACCGTGCCGTGCATGCTGTCATCCGGGGTACGTGTATGGGTTGAGCCCTGTTAAGGAAGCATGAGACTTCGGCTGCGACTCGGCGAGGCTGACTCCTGCAAGGTTGGCATTGATCTCATCGCCTCCATTACGGTGGCATTGCGCGAAAGTAGATTCGGAGCCCGGTTGGGCGTAATCGTCATCTGTGTTGTCTGTTCTTCATTTGTTTGCGCTCGCAAAACGAACATCTGAAACTTCTTCGCGCTACTGTAGCGTCTTTTAGCCTCGCGAGCTCCGACGCGTCCACGGGCGCACCGACGCGTGCACATCATTATACGCGCAGCCAGCTTGCCACACTCACACTTCAACCGAAATCACACAGGTGCAGACGTCACCTTGGCCACCACGGAATCAACAATTCGGCTGCGCAAGCGCGAGGCTGGATCATGTGGTCTAGCTTCCTTTCCCGGGCGCGTCCTACCCCTGAGAGAACACCCGCACCTGCAGTACAGTGCACGGTCGACACATCGGAAGATGTAGCTGTATCTGTGGAAGACAGACATATCGATATTTCGGAGTTGCAGCCGACGATTGTTCTGGACGATAGTGGTGACGCCACACTATTGGTCGGTACGGATTCAGCTGCTCTTCAGCCGGTCCAGGTGTCTTCGACGGCTATGACCCTGGCCAGCCCGGTATGGAAGGACATGTTCGAAAGACACCGGAAAGCAAACGGAGCTATTGAAGTACCTCTGCGGGATGATGAAGTAGATGCATTGTACATTGCACTTCGGATAGCTCATCTGCGCTTTCATGAAATACCTCGGAAGGATGGGCTTACTATCGACGCCCTGCTTGAACTCGCAGTCGTGTGCGCCAGATACGATATTGTAAAGCTAGTTCGGCCATTTTTGGACCTTTACGGCTGGGCCCAATGCCATTATCCTGACACGGACGCTGGAGAGCGATGCGACCCTGCCTGGTTCTACGTTGCTTGGACCTTTGGGTACAAAGACAGCTTCCAACGTCTTACCCGGTTCATAGTGAAGAAGATTGGACTAGATGAGGACGGGAATGCCATTATGGACGATGGCCAGAAACTTCCGAAGTATATGCCGCCAGGACTTCTTGGTATGATTCAACACCATCTCAACGAGACAAATACGAACACATGCTAACCAGTGTCCAAGCACGCATGATGGAAATCCGGGAAACAACGATTTCGGCCATGCTGGATATCTTGTATGATATCTTGGACGATATCATACATGTTTTTGTTTGTCAAGTCGACGAATCATGGGAGCCCAGGTGCCGAGCCACGGTTTTGGGTTCTTTCATCTCTTTTCTCCTGGAGAACGATCTCTATCCAGCACGGCGCACGGCTTCTGAAACCCCCTTCAGCATCCAGAAGCTCTACGATCTGGCTTCTTCTGCTCAAATCTTGACCCTCGAATCACATGACTATAGGGAAATGGCAATGTGTGTTCGAAGATCCAGTTGGGATCCAGCAAGCGTCACAGCTGATACCTTTAAGAACCATGGTGGACTGACTTTGCACAAGAAGTGTTTTGGAGCTTTCCACCTGCGGTCCAAGCTGAAGACTATCTATTCCGATGTAGGTTCAGCTGTCCTCCAATCCCATATCGAGCACATGGATAGACAGGCTCTGAAATGAATTCTTTAGCTACTTCTAGTCAAAAGGAGAGTTTGAAGATGCAATACTTTGAGCAAGCATGTTCAGACCACTTTCGAGCCTCAAGGGTCAGCCAGCAACGCCGCTATTTCCTGAATCACTGTTGGGAGTTACCGTTCGTGGTGAGGTCGAGCAATGGATGGTTTTCGTGGGATCACGTCGCTACAGCACGATGACGAGGCTCGGCTCGCGCTACCGCACGCAACAACAACACCCCGCTCGCAACGAGACTTGGTACTTGGCAACGACTTCTTCGACCTTCCCGATGTAGTCAATCAAAGTTCAACCCGCCCACTTCGAAGGTACCCCAAGCCATCGCCAAGGATGCGTAGCATGAGGATACCCGGTTGTACTCGGAATAAAACTGATAACAAGGCTGGCGAACATGGAGTCAAGCTTGGAGGCCATTGGCGTCGATAGTACGGTTGGTGTCGGTACATAAACCTCGATGGTCTACGATAATTCCAAGCTTCAAGGTTGACAAGCTTGCGATGCGTCCTACCATTTCTTCCGCAGCCGTCGTGCTGCTGGTATCTGCCGCACCTATTTTGGCTCAATTTCCTGCGGAACCAGTTGGCCTCAAGGTGCTAGAATCGCGCTTTGGAGATGGCGTAAAGATTACCTACAAAGAGGTTTGTACATCTCCGAAAATGACAGTTCTGCCAATCTAATGATCAAATCAAGAATTCGCTCTGCGAAACTACGCCTGGTGTGAAGTCTTTCTCTGGTCACGTCTACTTGCCTCCGGGAACTGCAGACCTGGGACAAGGGCAGGACTATCCAATCAACAGCTTCTTCTGGTTCTTTGAAGCTCGTGAGGATCCTGCAAATGCGCCACTGACGATTTGGCTGAATGGAGGCCCCGGATCTTCATCCATGTACGGCATCCTGGAAGAGAATGGACCATGCTATGCGAACCCAGACTCGAACTCCACGCGGCCGGCAGAGTGGAGCTGGAACAGAGCTTCGAACATGCTCTATTTCGACCAACCAGTTCAGGTTGGCTTTTCTTATGACACTTTGCAAAACATCACTCGGGACCTCGTTACCGGAGAGGTCACACTTCTCAACGAGACTACACCCGTGCCTGAACAAAACACCACTTTGCTCACTGGAACTTTCCCCAGTCGCGAGGCAAACAATACCGCTTTTGGTAGTGTCAACGGTGCCGTCGCAGCATGGGAATTTGCGCAGGCCTGGTTCCAAGAATTTCCCCACTACTTACCAAACGACACTCGCATCAGTCTCGCAGCTCAATCATATGGCGGACGCTACGGTCCCGCCATGATGTCTTTCTGGGAAGAGCAGAACCAGCGCATCGAGAATGGTACCCTTGGCGAAGAAGGCTACATCATGCATCTTGACACCCTACTTCTCATCTCAGGATGCGTCGACCGCTACGTTCAGTACCCCTACTACCCCGAGCAAGCTTTCCGTGGGAACGGATACGGGTTTGAAGCTGTCAATGAAACGACATACAACGCCATGGTCGAATCAGTCCCGGAGTGTCTCGAGCGCATTCAGAACTGCCGTGACGCTGCGGCGCAAGATGACCCCGAGAACCTTGGTATCGATGCAGGTGTCAACGAGATTTGCGAAGACGCTGAAACTTATTGTCGCGCCAACATCGTCACCCCATACAACCAGTACGCAGGCCGCGATTACTACGACATCTCCACCCCGTCACCGCCTCCATTTCCGCCTCCATTCCACGAAGGTTACTTGAATCGCGAATGGGTACAAGCTGAGCTCGGCGTGCCACTGAATTGGACCGGCAGCTCGCCGCAAGCCTCCGCTGCATACCGCGACATTGGCGACTACCCTCGCGACAATTGGCTCGACGACCTCGGTTTCCTGCTCGACAACGGTATCAAAGTCTCGCTCGTCTACGGAGACTTGGACTTTGCTTGTCCCTGGGGTGGCGGTGACGCTGTCGCCAAGGCAATCAACTGGACTGGATCTGCGGGCTACGCGTCAGCGCAATATGCTGAGATCCAGACCAACGACTCCTATGTTGGGGGTCTTGTGCGTCAGTATGGTAACCTCAGTTATATCCGCACGTACCAAGCTGGTCACGCGATCCCTGCATATCAGCCAGAAACCGCGTTTAAGATCTTCTCGCGTGCGCTGTTCAATCTTGATATTGCAACTGGAACTGAGTCAACTGCTGGAACGCAAGAGAGCAGCACGTACATGAGCACCGGCCGTCCAGATCCTAATGTGCAGTTTGACGCCTTCACTAGCGAGAGACTGACGTACTGCTACACCTGGGATTTGAGTTCTTGTACTGAAGAGACGGTTGACGCGGTTCTGGATGGTTCGGCAGAAATTTGCCAGTACCTGGTTGTCGACGCGAATACTACGCAGCTCTTCCCAGAGGTTATTGCGCAATGTCATGCGGGCAGTGGTGGGAATGCTACGGCACCGGGTGGACATAGTAACAGTACGTTGCCAGAATTTGAAGGCGGTGCTGCGAGGGTGGAAGGACGTGCGAGGACGTTCTGGTTTGGATTGGTCATGTCGCTCGTCGTGAGCTTGACACTCTAGTCTGATAAGGACAATCATGAACATAGATGCTCAGTATAAAGCTTGCGTTCACAACCGTGGCAGAATACTAAAAGCGCATCTCGAAGCATACATTACATCTTGATTCGTGATTTGCATCCCCTACTATCTCCTCCTCTTTATTACCGATTCTAAGCATCAATGTTCGCTCCGAATTTCTTAGCCTGTTCCCGTGCTACCTTGTCACCAAGGCTGAGTTCACCACCTTCACTTCCCTTACCTCCATTTCCACTTTGACTCTCTCCACCCTTCTTCCCACTCGCACTACCCTTGCCACCGTCTTTGCTCTTATCACCGTGCTCCAAACTAGTCGCGCCGTGCAATTCCTCCACGTCAGCATGCCCCCCATGTTTCTTCACAATTTCATCCCCAGCTCCTTTGCTCTTCTCCGTCGCGTCAGCCACCCTTTGCGCACGCGCATCCATCTCCTGCCCTTTACTGCTAGCAGTCGACATGTTAACCTCGTCTTTATCAAGCTTTGTGAACTTTTGGTCAAGGTGAGAGCGCTCGGGGGAGGTAGCTGAGTGGTGCGGTTGGTCCCGCTTCTTGGAGCTCTTGGACGAGGTGTCGGTCTTCAGGTGGTCTGGGATGGGTTCTTCGTCCTCTTCTTGGGTGGGGTCTTTCTTGGGCTCGTTGACGCCGAATTGCTCCGCGTCGTCGGCGATGAGTGCTGCGGCACCACCAGCACCCATGCCGGGAATGGCTAGAATAGGTTAGTACTTTTGGTTTGACCTTATATGCCTGTGTGGTTTTCGTACCGTCTCCTGCTTCCTGCTCGGGCATAGGTGCTACATGCTTGGTATGTTGAAGCGTTTTCTGTTGGTCACATGTAAGTAGGAGTACTTATGTTTCCAGCACATCGAAACACATACATCGCCTGAAGCACCATGAAGTAGCTCGTGACCCTCAATGGGGCCATTGTCGCCAGATCCATCTCCGTTGCGAGGCATGATGTTCGATTTGTGAGTTGAAGAAAGTTACGTGTGTGGTTCCCAAGTGTAGAAAGCTGTGTAGCAAGAATGTTCAAACTCCACCATGATCACACGCGACCTTGATATACTGCCTGCACTAGCTTTCAGGTACCTTGGAAGTTGGCACATTCCCCAAGTTCTACGTCTTTGGTTCAAAGACGTCATAGCTTTTGTTTATTGTAAGTGCTGGCACTAATTGGCCACTAGGCGGTGTCGGAGATCGTCCGGCATGCATACAGTGGGCTTGCTTCTTTTCGTGTCTGACTAGCTTCTCAGGCACAGCACTAGATTGGAAGGTAATTACCAGTTCCCCAGGTTTTGTGTAGTCATCGCTCGGGGTTCAAGATCGACTTTTAGCTTCGGGGTGTGAAGCCTTTGTATGGAATGGACATTACAATATTAGCTGAGGGTATAATACAAATTGTTAGTGTCGCACACTCATTATAATCATCATCATCTTTCCCCATTGTACAAAAAACAAATGAAAAGCTCAATACACAACCTTGTGGTCCCAGAGAGGCGCCTGCCTCACACTATTATCATCCCACTCAACCTTACCCTTCTCATTCATTACCGCACCTTCATCCGTAACTTCAACACCGTAGCTTCCCAGACTTTCAGTCAACTCAGAAACCTGGTTCTTGCTAATGCCAGCCTGATCTCTGGCTAGCCAGATGACTTCTTCACGTTGAGCCAGGGCAGGGTGGAGGTAAGCCTCAAGAACGTCTTGTTTCGTGTATGCCGGGACAGGGTGGCGGAAGCGCGCAGTTAGGGAAGAAGAGATTTCGCTCGCGGAAGCAGTGTGAGGGGAGAATATCTTTTTGAGCATGGATCGTTGCGGTGGTGCGCCGGAGGGAGGTGCCATGCCAACGGCTTCGGCGCCGACGTGTTGGCGGCCTTCGTCGCTGAAGGTGGAAACAAGTGCCGATTCGGATTGTCTGCTGTCACTGCGCCCGACGTTGCTGTATCCAGGATGCATGCCATTGCCCTCTGAGTTTCTTCCGGCTTCGGCATCATTTCGCTGGCTAGGATGGTAGGAGTCGTCGAGCAGATTCATCTTCTTGAGCTTGCGCTTCATAATGATGTGAAAGATGATGGTCGCTACGATCAACACGACCTGAAGCACAGTAGGTCCGGCAGAAACGACGCTGTTGCCGATTCCGATTCCGAAAAGACCTAAAAGACAGAGCTCTCCAAGATAGACACCAACCATAAGTTGCTCGAGTGCGCGAGCGTAGAAACCACCCTTGGTGTCGATATGGGTGTCGTGAACGTAGATCATGTTGTAGCGATAGGCAAGGTAGATGCACCCGATTCCAATGGTCGCAAAACCCAAAACGAGCGGCGCGATACACGCGTACGATAGGGCGATGACACCCAAGTTAGTCCATTTAGGATATTCCGCTCCCCACGACGGCTCAGTAAAAGATACGTAGCGCATGTACTTCTTTCTTGGAGTCTTTGCAAACTTGCTCAGGATGAACACACCCACCAAGCCCATCAGGTTGAAGAGATACCGCGAAGCGTTGGCGAGTCCATAGAGGATGAAGTAAGAGATGTAGAAGTTGGAAGCTTTGGGAAGATTCTTCGACAGCAGAGTGATGGCCGATGACGGGTTGCTGACGATCTGGCTAGCCACTGCTGAGGCGCTGGAGGTAAAGGTCGTGATGAGGAAAACTTGGATGACTTGGAAAGCAAAGTACCATGTCTGGCACTGCTGTTCGACTTCCGAGACTGTGGCGGCGCCTGCAAGCTTTGCGAAAACTATAAGGGTCAGCAAGAAGTTTGGATAATTTCGAGACTGTTAGCTTACAGCGACAGATAACCGGTACCAATGCCATGAGCACAGCAAGTAGGACAGTTGGCAGAAGTCCAGTGACTACACCAAGGATAACAGGCGGAATAGAATCGATCCAGGCTAAGAATGGCACATTGGCTGTGAGATAGTTGACGTTGCTGATGATACCGACAAGTGCCACAGGAATGGCCCAGAATATGATGAGGGCTGAGATAGCGATGGTTGCAAGGAAATGTCGGATCATTCTGTTTTTGGATCCCATGTTGAGGTTCTTCCAGATGACTTCGTCCGGCAAGACACCCATCTGTCGAGAGGAGAAACTAGTCGGCCTGCGGTGCTGGTTTTCATTGAAGGCAGCTTCGGCAGCTGCCATGGTGTTGAACTCGATGAAAATGGCGCTGGCTAGTTCCTCCTTGCCAGCGAGGTGGGACTGTTGTGCTGTCTGGATCTTGGGCAACAGTTCCTTGATCTGGTTGCGGTAGTAGCCGATAGAGTCGACCTTGTGCCCAATCAAAGGCTTCAAGCGGTGTGTGGGTCGCAATGCTTTGTCGGTTTCACTCTTCTCGTTGCTCTTTTTCTGCTGTTGTTTGGTAACGGCTGCCATATACTTAATCTCACTGGCCTCTAGTTTGGGTACTGTTTTCTCGAGCTCCTCAACATCATCTTCTAGGTCCTTCACATCTGGGACTAGCCAAATCTGCGCCACCTCCGGAAACATGGTGTGAAGACGCTCAAGCGAAAGGTCCTTCTCTGGCACATCGGTGAACAAGACCGTTCGCTGCGAGATTCGACTTGCATTCCAGGTGGACAAGAGGTAGGCTTTTCGAACCTTGGCAAGATACAACATCTCTCTGCCAATGAGAAACAAAACCCAGCCGAAGAAAACCCAGGCCATGAGCGCGTGGGCAAAGTATCGCACCTCGTTTTCGATGTTGGAGAAGCTCAGGATGTCCAAGCCCGACTGACCGCCGCCACCGGTTGCGTTTACAGGGAAGAGTATTGGCCACGTGATGATGGCACCGAAAAATGCCATCAGTGTGAGTACTTTGAGGAAGCGCATATAGAGGTAGGCATCAAGAGAGTGGTGGTTGAGGACGTATTCGTCACTGAGATGCATAAACTTCGAAGTCCATCCAAAGAAACTCGAGCCTGCTGATGGCGTCTTTTCACTATGCTGATATCAGTATTGGTCAGGTAATGGTGTCAATGAAGTACATACTCTTCGAGCAGCGCATCGTGATATGTTCGCGGCGCATACAACCGCTTCTGCTTCGCACGTAGCACAAAGAAAGCTCCTACGAGAACAGCTGCGACTACGAAACATGGAACCAGCGTCGATACCATAGCAGACAGCGAAGAGCTGCTGGTACGATGGCTTCCCTGCTGTTGAGACATGGCGGGCGATGTCGATCGTGTAGGGGACGTCGCGATGCGAGAATGCAGTTTGTAAAACATCCCCCGAGCAGATCATCCTGCCTTCATGTATTGATTGTAATTGCCAATGGCGCTTGCATCATAGCACCCAAACTTTGGCGTTCTTCCCGTAAACATTCAGTGTCATAGTACATGGTCGGCACATGCGTTCCGACTAGTCGCATGGCCGATCAAATGAGATGAACCAGGGGCAGGTCGCGCGAAATCGGAGGCTGGAACGCAGGACGTTCAGAGGTTAGACAACGATCTAGCGTACCGGTTACGTCGATCCAAGACTGTAGCGCATGGTTCATGAAGCTTGCGGGGATGAAGCTCGAACATGGACGCGGGGACCATCGCTGGTGTCGTCATTGTTATGCTGCGAAACTCGAACTATCTCTGCATAAAACAAGGCAGTGTATTCAACAAGAGGTACTGGGCATTGGGTCCGCTACATCTAGCCTGCCGTTTTGCCGTATGGATTTATCCCAGAGCAATTTTGAAGGCATCTCGTCTGTCATTGTTCGAGGCAGACGTTTGTTAAGTGAAAGTCATGGGTCGGGACCTCACAGTCAAAAGTTGCCCGAAGTGTTATGGCGCAGTCACTTAGCCACAATTAAGCATGCGCCACCGTGGAGTAGGTGGGTCGGAGTCTCCTTGCGATTCGTGCACGTCCTTAGCCCTTTCTCCTTTATATCCTTACACTACCATAAATCCTATCTATGAATCTTTGACGTTACATGAGCATATTTCGCAGTGTTGAAACTAAGCGCAGGCACCTAGGAATTCTTCCCACAAACCTTTCTATCAGACATCTGCAAATGATGCGAGAACGTCCTCCGGCCTACTTTAAACCGGCGCGGCCCGCCTATGAGCACCGAGAACGCTGTTGCCAGCGGTGTCGTTTGTAGGGTAGGCCTGTGAACAGTTGTTCAGCATCTCTAATTACTAGCATTCGCCCTGGTCTCAAAAGTCCTAGTATTGACTTCTATCTTGGATATACTACACGACGTCAATGACCGAGGCCTGCAAAGAAAGAACACTAGAGAGTCGCTTGCAATTGGCCACCGAGTACGTCAACGACAAGTGGACTCCTCCGTGGAGCTCGAGAAATTCCAACAGCCTGCGCCTTTCCCAAGTGGTCCTATTACATATCTACACAGAAGCGTTGGAAGTCAACGATACTCCAGAAACAGCAGCAAAAAAAAAACGGCCTCCTTGTCTACATCAAGTACAGAAAATGAGTCGCTCCTCGCGATCGCTCCCAAGACCAGCCCAAGACATACCAAGATCTTCCCCGCAAGCTTACCCCAGATTCGCACACAACGTTACACATTGTGGCAATCATTACCACATTTGTTCAATTCTCTTTCGTGGATTTAAGAGGTTGTGGGTCTACGGAAAACATTTCGCTGCTGGAGGTCTCATGGCTTTACTTGGCATCAGCGTGCTGTTGCTGTCACACGTCGACTATGGGTTGGCGGTGGCTTGAAGCATGAACTACAATGCTTGGAATATGCGACGTAGCTCTCGAACAAGGCATCGGGACATGCGCACGGAACGTATGACCTGCATGCTAGCATCCGAAGGCTGGATGCTCTTTGGAGTCTATAATTGAACGACGTGCCGTCTCCTGGTCTGATTGATAGTACTAGACGAGACTGAACTTCCACTCGACTCCCTCTTGACTTGTCACTTCTCGTCCAATTACCATGACCATCATGACTCATACCACCACCAAAGACGAGCCCGCCGACCATATCGAGCA